CCCCCCCCTTACCCCCTCCTTATACGTCCAACAACACCCCATTCTGCTTTTTCACTCATTCTCCACGAACACTCACTTCCCAGCACACACCCTCCTGTAGCTTTTCCACTGTGTTCATCTCCATATGCAAACAGTCTCCCACCCACCCATGGCCCTCTGATGGTATGATCTTTTCTGCTTAGCTATTTTTTGCCATACCGAGGTCTTGTTCTCCACCGGTGTCAGTTTTTAGTGTCGTCACTCCACACTGCATCAAGGTTTCTAGCTGTTTCTTAGTTGACAGCGACTGTATATTTACTGCATTAGCTGCAAGAGAGATTAATGATTCATTACTGTAGAGGAGTATGTGAAACTGGATTAGGAAGCTTGTGATTCTTGTGGTTTGTCTGTGTGTTTTAAAGAGACTAGCTAGGTAGTGAGATTCTGCTGTAATTGTCCTGCGTTAAATGTGACTAATTTTATTTTAGATGTCTTTTGCAGTTCTTTTTTAGCAAGGCACACCTTGTGCGAAAATGTCCCAGCTGTCGTTAGTTTTCATATGTGCTTTTCAATGTCTGCAAGTTTGATCTGTGTCTTGCTGTAGCTGTATTTAGCTCCCTTAATCCCCACCTTTGTCTTTTTTCTGTCTCTTTTTTTTTCACCATGCCTCTCCCTCTCTCTCCATATGAGGGCTCAGCAGTTGTGGCACAAATTTCCTAGCAACCACAGCTGGTGCCATCATGGAGGTCTATACATGAAAAAAAAATAAGCTTTAAAATGTATCTGAAATGAGATTTTACAAGTTAAAAGAACAGATGGCAGATTTCAAAATCAATATGATTATCATAGATGTATATACTGTACCTGTGACGAGTCTGAAAAGGTTTAAAGTAGAAGATGATTGAGTATTTACAGCTGCAGGATGGTGTATGTGGGATTGTCACATAAACAGTGTGTCGTGTGTTCATGGTAATGAAGACAATGCACAGAGGAATCATCTATATTAGGAATACAGAGGCAAGACTTGTTAGTTGTGTCAATTCATTAAATCAGTGATTTCATGGGATTTGTTGACGATGAGAAAATATCACTTATTGTTTACGAGTGGCCAGATAGTTAACCTTACAATGTTATCGCGGACCAAAATTACACTTATCGTTGGCCAAAAAACACCACAAGAGTGACGCTCTAACAGTTTCTTTTTTTAATTTTTTTTATAAAGTTGTACAATTCAAAATGGTTTCAGCTGTTCATCTTTTCAAGAACTCATAGGGCCTCCAGTATGGCTGCCACAGGGTGCATTATGCCACCTGAAAGCCCACTGCGCTGTCTTTCTTTCTCCTTCTCTTTCTTTCTATCTCAGTTCTCTCCTTGCTGCTCCCTTCTCCTGCTAGGGTTGCTTGTCGTAGTGGATGCCTGTCTGTCTGTTTGTCCCTTCGTCCATCTGTCCGTCTTGTCTGTCTTGTCTGTCTGTCTGTAGTGTTGTGGTTGCCAGGACAGATTCACTGATGCCTGTGATTCGATGCTTTATCTCCACTAGCTCCAGTGTAGGTTGGAGGGGCTTAAAGATGATCGCAGGAGGACCTTCAGCTCTCGAGTAACTATCCCGCCCCCTTACCCCCCTCCTTGCCTTTCCCTCACCCTCCTCCGAGGAGCGCGCAAAACAAACGCCCCGCTCTGTGTCCCTCCCCTCTCTCCCTCCTCGCTTGCCGAGCTATCTCTCTAGCTCTCGCTCACTCTCTTTCTCTTTATGTCTCTCTATCTGCCTGTTGCCGCTGGTCTCTTTCTCGACCTCAATCTGTCTGTCGTTCACTCTCGTCACTCTGTCTCACTATTTCTCTGTCCGGTCTGTTTGGAGTCTCCCTTTCTACGTCTCCCCCGCACACTTTTCTGTCTCTTGTTGTTCACTTTCTCTGTCTGTTTCTCTTTCTCTTCCTCCATCTGTCTGTCCGTCTCTGTTTCTGTCTTTCCGGTTAACATGCTCTGCTTTCAGTAGCTATGTCTGGTGTGCTGGATGTCTGTTAAAGTAGATGCCATCAGGCCGCTAGAGTGGTCTTTATTGTTTTGTTCTTTTCCTCCTGTTTTCCCTCCTTTCTGCTGTGTCTCGGCTCTGTAGTTTAGTGAAGTCTGTCAAGTCCGTGCTTCTTGTTTTTGTTTGTTTCCTTTCCTTCCGGGCTGTGGGACCACGTCATGCTGATCCTCATCCTTCCACCCTCTGTCTCTTTCTGTCTATCCAGCTGTTTTTTTTTTCTATCTCTCTGTCTCGCCATACCTCCTCCTCCACCATCCCACCCACCTTGCCCCGCCTCCCATCTCTCACCCTCTCACCTCGGCTGTTTGGTGCCTAGTGGTGTCACAGTATTAGCCTAGTTATGATGGCAGTGAGGGAGGGGAGGAGGGAGAAAGGGGTGGGTGGGGTAGAGAGACCTTCACCATGGGTGTTTTGGTTCTCCATACACCACACACTGCCCACACCCAACTTGTGTTATTGAGACGCAGCAGTTGCAACAAAGACAATTAGGACTGCCAGAACACAGAAAAAGTGATAGACATAGGACAGACAGAACAACAGACAACCAGGCAACTATGCCAGTCAACACATCTGAATGAAGGTAGATGGACATCTAAATCAAGACCAACAATTAAACAAAAGACACTTAAGTTTAAATATCAGCCCTGATTTTCTACAGACTGTAAAATGTTGGAATCAGATGGCATCAGAATTGATTTTGTCCAGAGTTATGTACTATTTATGTATGTTGGTGTGCAGTACTTGTAAAAAATAATACTTTTATTCTGTGCCAATCTTGTAGCCTGGTAACCTACAACATGTGATTCTCCTTCCCTTATTTAGTCCTTCCCTAAAGCTGAGCTTTCCAAAAGCACGCTCATACTGTGACACAGAATCTCCTTTATGAGGAGTTGTATATAGTTGTTGTTTGCAAGTGCTGTGTAGCATCTTTAACATCAATGCATTGGTGCTATGTTAGTTTTCTATAACCGTTATTCAAACAGCATGATCACCGGGAGGTTGGCAGCTTCTAACAGCATTGGTGAGATGAGAAGGGGACCACTGGCATGTCCATGTCCCACTTCCCGCATTACACTTTAAGTTATGCGCAAACTGTTTAGGTTCCACCAAGAAACTTCTGATCAGATCTGCTGTACATTATTATACAAGAAGATGATCCTAGCTGTGTCCCAATTCCACTCTACATACTAATTTTAAGCAGGTTTTGAGTTTGTAGTGTTGTGTGTTCACTGAGAGACAGTTTCCTGTATTTGTATCAAATATTGGACCCGTTTTTCACAAGCCACACATCTTACGAACATTTTGACATTAAAATAGCATTTTTTTTATAAGACAAGTCCTGCAGAAAATAAATTTTGTTCGAGATCTTTTTCTGTCTCAGCGAGATCCGGCAACTGACTTACGCCTCAGCTAAAAAAAGTTGTAATGCTAAATATGGTGTTAGCTGTGTAAATATCTAATGTTAGCAAAATAAAATATAAATACGCTCTGCAAATATAACCCAGTCTGCTTTCATTCAATCACACAGCACTTACAACACTTTCAAATCCGTTTCATTAGGACTGAAAGTATTCTGCGGAATATAAAAATGTAAAGTTGTGGATGGTAGTGAAACAATTCCAGAAACACCTCAGAGCAACAAAAGGTTTATTCTTGACCTTGCAAATAGTAGCTTGACCATTTCAACTCAGAGATCACTTACTAGCTTTGTCCTTAGGTTCTCTGGAGGAAAGGGGCTATGGTTGACATCCGGACAGCCACTGAGCTTGCATGTCAATAGATCATCTGAGCATCCTCTGATGAAGACTGTATGGAAGTTGAAAGCTCAGGAAAAAGCTAGGTGGCGGACCTTGAGTTGAGTGAAATCTTTGGAGAAACAATTTGCTCTCTTTTTTAGGTGGCATTCCAAAGTCAGTCGGTGAACCTACTGCATCGGTTCCTGTTTGTACAAAACGATAAACTACATTGATTTTTTGTTTATTGTCAAAACAGTATAAAACTGTATGACAGATAGAATATAGTACTGCACTTCACAGTATGTTGAATGGAATTGGGACATTATTTATGGCATGTTTTGATTTTGAAGACCAGGGTTTATGGGAAATGTGATCTTCATTTGATCTCACGTGAGATAGAGGATACTTATTGTCTCCGCCATGGTTTTCCTTTTGTTGTACTGTTGCAACTAATTTGGCACAAACACATTACTTGTAAACAATAGCGGCACCACTTTTAATTTAGTTTGTTTTCCATTCACTTACCGTTAACAACAGTTAGCTGTGTAGTCGCAAGATGCTTCTGGGAAGCTCAGCTCAGTTTTAACCCACTCTGCTCTCCTCCCCACCTTGCCATAGATTACAGGTAGTAAAGCGCTGGTGCAGCTATCTATCATGCTGCATCAGCACTCTCCAGGGAAACCTTACCGTCCTGCGCCACATCTGAACAGCCACTATCTAAACTCGACACTACATTTTCACTACATTTGATGTTACACCGTAGCACAGTTAATACATCTGTTATGACCTTGTGATGAAATATTGTCACTCTGTATGTTGTTGCCCTTGTCCATTTATTCCTTTTTAGTGCTTCAATCTAGTAGTGATGTGTTGTGTCAGTGCGTTTATCAGTGTGAATATCACCTGTGATGTGATGATGTAGTGTACAGTAAGTGATGATAATGCTAATGCAGGAGATGTAGCCATCTCCCAACAGCAGGACAAAGTGCACAGTGTAGTGTGACACGGCTCTTGCCAATGCTTCTGACTGTTGTTTAAGCAGCTTCTCATCTTAAGCATGTCAAAAGAGCAGCCTGGTTTATCTCAAATTACCACCACCTCTGCTCTCTCTCTCTCTCTCTCTCTCTCTCTCTCTCTCTCTCTCTTTCCTTTTGTCCTACGTCTTTGTCCCAATCGCCCTCTCCATCTTTAGGTGCAGTCACGATGCAGCAGCAAAGAAAATATCCTAAGATCAAGTAAGTACCAAGTTTCCAATTCAAAAGCACCCTCTTTTTCCTGTGTGTCATGTCGGTATGTGCTCTGAAATGCGCATAAATAGATATTGAATGCACATGTGATGTGACAGTGCGAGGACGGTTTGTGTGTTTACTGTGTGTGGCTGCTGTCACGCACGCTGGTGTGTGTGTGTGTGTGCGTGATGTTTTGCCAGAGGTTGTTAAGCCTCATGTTAAGCATCAGAATATGCTGTGGAAGCGTAAGTGTATGTTTAAAGGAGAGAAATTGGGTCAAGGGAAATCAAAGCACAGAGCCTGTTCCTCGCTGTGAGGCAGAGGGAGAGCAAGGCAGAGAGAGATAAAGAGAGAAGGGGAGAGAGAGAGCAGATTACATATTAGTTACACCTTGTTTTCTTCCTTTTACCTTTTGAATTATTAGAGAGATATTATTAGACCAACATGGCTGCTATCGAGCACTTCTGTCATCCAGCTGGGTTCCACAGCTCCGCAAACAAACAGGACTATTTCCTGCCAATCCCCCCCCCCCCCCCCCCCCCCCTCATGGTGTTTAAATTGTGTTATTGCACACATGCACTAAAAACATAAATTAATCCCATTATCTTGGTGACAGGGATGTGGAAACACATTAGATTACACGTGTTTATTTATTTGATTGTATGTTTTGCATGTGTGCGTTATCATGTCTTGGGTTTTGGAATTCAACCGCTATTGCTACAGCTGCAAAACCAGTGCGCTAAGATCAGTTTGAATTTCTTTTTTTGGAGTTTTTTTTCTGTGGCTCTCGGCCCAAAAAGAACCTTTTTAAAATACAGTTTTTGTCTCCAGAGATAGTTGAGTGGTTCAGTTCCCTGACTTTGGAGCCACATAGATGCCTCCACTGTCTTGGGATTGTGTCCCAATAGAGTTCTCTCCTCTCTCCCTACCCTCTATCTACTCTCAACTTTCAAACTGTCTAAGTTAAGAATTAAAATGCTAAAAAGGGGTGAGCGGACTCAAGATTTTCTGATTCAGGCTGGGCTTGGCATAAATTTCTAAGCTTTGGTCTAGAGCTATATGTCTGAAACTGTCACTGTTGTCGAATGAACGCACTATATCTACTTTATGTGTCAATGTATGTTCCTAAACGACCTCTGCAATAGAACAACATATCTCGTGTCCGTAACAAGTTTGCTAGTTTTTGCCTAAAAAATCGGACACTGCAATTCTTTAACATAATAGCAGATACAGGACACTAAACATGTCAGTATTTGCTAACATGATGAGGTGTCTGGCGTCTCAATTCAGTGCTCACAATAAAGTAAACAATTTCATATATTGGCTGGAACTAACTCGTTGTAGATATTTTTCGATGTTATATCTGTTGGCCAATAGGTAACAGCAAATTGCAGTACAGAAAAGGCAAAGATATTTTTGAGATAATTTGTTGGCAATCTTGGTCAAAAGGTTTAAAAAACTATTTCACATGATCTATATTTTTAAAAAGAAATGTATGATGAGTTCTATACTGTTCCTCTTTTGTGATATAGTTTGATTTTGTGACAACCATTTCATGATAGTGTTTGTAATGTTCCTTATCTTCCCAGGTCACAGCGCAGTGGACATCACCAAGGTGGCCCGGAGGCACCGCATGTCCCCCTTCCCCCTCACCTCCATGGACAAGGCCTTCATCACTGTGCTGGAGATGACCGCCGTCCTGGGCACTGAGATCATCAACTACAGAGGTGAGGAGGACAGGAACCCTGCAGATCTAGCAAATCTTCTTCACACCCACTTAAATGTCCTCAATGTGTTCATCCTGCCCCTTGACATCTTCAGTTCACCTTCTCATTATGTCTACTGGCACCTTTCAGATTGCAGTGCACGTGCTGGCTAAGTACACATGACAGCATCGAAACACTCTCTGCCTGAATCAGCAGTCTGTGTCACTCACACAATGCACTCACACACACATGTACTTCATGGCTACAAGGGCACATAACATACAAACCTTTCCTAACGAGCCATGTGTCGTTTACATTTATTGCTCCCTTAGATAGAAAAGACTATTTTCAAGTTATTGATTAGAGTGATAATTACTTTTAAGCTGCTATAATCAACATGTATTAATATTCACATAAACAGTATAAATGTAAAGGGTCACACCTAGTGACCACAGGGAAATTATCCCCTGACTGCAGTTTCCCTCAGATTTTAGGAGCATTCTAGCATCTTTCAGCTCATTGTTTTGGTAACTGTACTGTTTTGGTTACCTGTCATCAGGTTTAAAGTGAAATGGAAAATAATTACGATACTTATGTTTCATTTTTAGTCACATGGTTACGTTGCAGGTTACGTTTTTTTAAGGTTTTAAAAATTAACAATGTCACATGGTTTATTTATTTGTCATTTTACAACACAGGGTTGCACAGTGTACTGTACCTTGTAGCCCCTTCACTACACACACATAAAACATGTATACCAATACTTAAATTGGAAGAGAATAATATAAAACAATTTATAAAGTTACTTTTGGATAAATTCAACTTGATACAATAACATTTGATGTGCTGAATGCATCTTTGTAGTTGTATTTTGTTGAATTTGCATGTCTAAACAGACAGACACGATACAAACATAGAGAGAGAAGTTAGTTTAGCACCCGTGGGTCTTGTAAGCCTTCTGGCAGAGTGGCCTATGCGCCTGCGGAGGGTGACACAGAGCCAGGCTGACGGCCAGAGGGGGAAACACACTCTTTAATTCATCTCTGAAAATGGGGTAGAGAGGATTGGGGGCAATAACACCCTGCAGCGCACATGACGTTGAGATGAATGATGGTGGAAGGAACAACACTTTTCCCAAGTGTAAAGTGATGTTTCATGTTCTTTGGGAGGGAAGGGAATTTCAGGATTTGCAGGAGCACAGCTGGGAGGAAGACAGCGGGGTAAGGAGGTGAGGAAGATGGGATATGAGAGATGAAATATTTAGAGAGAAAACAGCTGGAGCAGATCCCCTGCTGGATTTAGAGGGGTCTGCACGTGGGTGGGTGAAGTGTGCACTGTGTCATGGTTTGTTGATTGGTGCATATCATCGAGTGTGGAATTATAAGGATCTATCTCTTATGTTATCATCATAATGGTGTAATGCACAAAATAATCTGCATTGAATGTCACACTTTCGTTACTGTTGTATTTTTGAGAAAGTTTTGTTTGGTAAGAAAGTTAAAGAATAATAAGTTCTTGACAGTATAATATCTCAAATCTGTATTTCCATTAGATAAAACGTTTAAAGGAATAGTTTAATATTCTGTGAAATACACTTTAATGTTATTGCTGAGAGTTGGATAAGAAGATTGATATCACTCTGGTGTCTGTACACTACATGTAAAGCTAACACCATCAGCAGGGTAGCTTAGCTTAGCTCAAAGACTAGAAACAGGAAATAAGCATTATTCCCAAAATGTCAAAATATTCCTTTAATTCCCATCAATCTGTGAGCAAGAATATGTTGTGTGTATATATATATATATATATATATATATATATATATATATATACTGTACATGGAAGTATGTGCACAGATGTTTACATTCCATCTGCACCTTAGTTTATTTCTTAATACATACTTATTCCCGTATTTATTTAGTACTTGTATAGAGAACAAATACAACTCAGCAAATGTCTAATAAACAGAAGTGCAATATCTTACTGTTTTCACTGCACTTATATTTATACTATATATTTTATTCTTTTTCATTTGTATTACAGTTGTATAGTATGTGCACGGTCAGGATTGCTCTCTAATTTCGTTGTACTTTGTGCAATGACAATAAAGGAATTCTATATATGTAGACAGGTACTGTATGTTTAGCATGAGTATATAGGCGCACATATGTTTACATCACTACTGTCTTCTAAAATGTCAGATCGTTTCTAGAGAGACAAGTGATGTCACAATGCCCCTTGATTTAATTATCATAATTTAACCCTTTTTAAAACCTGTGCTTGCTGGCAGTGATGTTTTCGCAAAGCATCTGATCAAACACATATTTCAGCTTCGGCAACAAGACATCACCTTTTGTTCTATTTTCATTCACAACTCCCCTTCAACACATGGTTTTAACAAGCTGTTTGAATAGCAGCTTGGATGCAGTAGCAAAATACATCAACATCTCGGATGAAATGCTGTCGACTCAAGAAAGATGTAAGGATTGGACGCGTCCAATAGGCACGTGTGTCTTCTTCGACGGCCGAGATGCATTATTTACAGCGGCTCGTTATGACTGCCGTAAGCTGATGTGTGTATGCGTGTGTGTGTGGGTGTACTTGCATATTTTTTCCCCTTCAACACATTGATATCAAAGCTTAGATCTTCATATTAACGCCCACATAATCATAGCATAAAGGCTCTAACAAATGCTATATATAGCCACACAGCAGCTTATGGTATTTTTAGTGCCAGGATTTTTCTCCTCCACCCACTCTGCCTCTGTCTGTTTCTGTCTTTCTTTCCTTCCCTCGCTCTCTCTGAGCTATTGTGTGTGTGTGTGCAGAGTCTATGTTCTTCCCACAAGGATGTTTCCTGAGTGTTTTTAAGTTGTCTGGCTGGTTAAGAAATGTGAATAGCAACACTTGCAAGCTCCCACTTGTTGTTCGGGAATCAGTAAAGCTGAAAAAGAATAAGAGAGTGTGTGTGTCCGTGTGTGCTGGTCAGGTAGTGAGTCATGCAGAGAGATCCTGATGCGCGGTGTCACACTCTGTCTTTCTTTAAAAACACACACATATATACACACACACCTCCGGCGCATATGCCTCTCTGTATCTTCATCTGAATCAGATGCACTTTCTCCCTCACCCTCTCTGCCTCTGTCTCTCTTTCCCTCTCCAGCTGTCGCTCTCTCCCTCCGCCACCCTTCGCCCAGCTTCTCCTCCTCTCCTCATACCCATGTTCTTCCTCTTCTTCCACAGATGGGATGGGTCGAGTCCTGGCTCAGGACGTTTATGCCAAAGACAACCTGCCACCCTTCCCTGCCTCTGTCAAGGATGGTTATGCTGTGAGAGGTAAGCATTGTACATTATGGCAGGTGAATTGAAAACAAAGTCCTGTAGCTGTTTTTTCATTAGATAGAAAATGTGAAACAACTGTTTAAACATTCAAAGTAATATTTAGGCCTCAAAAATATGTCATTGTAAAAGGAATGAGCAGGCCAGTCCAGGTTTGCCAGAGAAGCTGCCAGTGATGTCCAATTTCACTTTAGTAATTATCACCATAAACTAATTTATACTTTTTATGTACACACATATATGCAGTATTAGGTGCAGCTGAGTTTTTGCTCATTAGGTACAATGAGGCCCTAAAACTAGAAATAGAAAAATGTTTTTTTTTCTTTCTGAAGGACTTTTTATTGTGTTTTTATCTTGAGGAACATTTATGAACACAGTTGCACCAGCTGTTTGTTCAGAGTTCAGCCTTAGCCTTACTATAAAGTAAGGGTTTACTAAGTGAAGACTTGCACATCACTGAATACAAATGGGTTCTATATCTAACATAGAGATTAGTTGCCAGGTTGTCTGTTGCTCAACTAGCTAACTGGCAGAATGAATGTTAGCTTGTTATATCAACCATTTGACGAAAGACTTAAAGAGGTAATATGGAATATGGTTCACATTTCTGACCTGACACTTGATCAAAATTCTGTTTGGTAGTGACACAAACATTTTATAAAAATAATACAATATACCTTAAATGACAGCATTTTATGCCAATAACGTATCCTAATCATATAGTCATGCATTAGCACATAGACAGGAAGGACATTACACATAAACTTGGTGATAGATTCATGAATCACCCAATCCAGTTTACCATCTCTTGTTTTTTCTTCAGAGTAAGTTGCAGAACATAGACAAAGCTGGAGAACTAACCAGGCCAGTGTGTCTTTCCTCCTGTACAAATGACCTGATTGTCCTAGTTTGAGATGAACAGGACACTGCGGCAGTGGAGAACTGCCTCAGTAGCTTCTTCTGCCAATGTGAACTGAGGAGAGATTGAGTCTTTGCATTGTGGGACATGGAGGGGGCTTTCCTCCATATCTGCCAGGTGGCGACAAGTTACAAGAGACATGGGGTTTACCTCTGCTCAGAGAGATTGGTATCATTCCTATGGCTGCACGAACTCCTTAGAGCAGTTTTCAGGTGAAATCCAGGTAACGTTATGTTGCCTTGTTTTGGTTAAAGAAATCAGTGGCAGGGCGCCCTTGTAAAGCGTTGAGGACCCTGTTAACCTGGAGAGCAGTGTGGCAGCTTGCTGGCTCCAGGCAGCTCAAAAACTCTTGCATGTGACATCTGCTGTTAGCTCCTGCTGATGGAGTAGGAGGAGCAGAACACCACAGGTCTCTCTGGATTTGATGTGCCTGTCCTGAGGGCCTGGCGTCTGCCGAGGCGTTCATGTGCAGATTTGAGAGATTTTAGTGCCTAGACTGTGGGTGTGGAAGCAGCCAATAACCTATTGCTTTCTCCAGAGCCAGTGCGTAACAACAAATGCTTGTCATCCAGTGTTATTTGTTTATGTAGAGAAAAGGAAGTGGGGACGCATTTAATCCTTTTATTAAGATATGTTAAACCATGAAATTTAAGTCACAAAGTCTTTCACTCACCAAGGACACTTTGCAATGTCAAAGGGTGTTTTAAAGTTTGAATTGGGTTTTTATTTATCTTGTGATGAGCTTCCTTCTTGGTCCTGTGTGTTTGTAAAAGAGCAGATATAAGGAGCACATATTCTATTTTCCCATTGGCTGAAACAATACTGAAAGGGATGGTCTCTCCACACCTCAGAGTGGAGGGCATTATTTGGAAAAAGTGCATATGAGGAAGGTTTGACTGTAATTAAATCTGTGAGCCCTGCAAGCATTAATAATACTGTGTATGTCTGTTTTTAGATGTTTAATCAAAGAACAATGTCTTCCTTCTCTGCTCATTTGTTCAATCTGTAGCCCACTGAAATAAAATGACTCAACTAAATGACACACTCCTACACACACACACACTTTCAGCTGCACACATGTGTAATGCTATTAAATCTTTCTTTTATTTTAGCGGCTGACGGCCCAGGCGACCGCTTCATCATTGGAGAGTCCCAAGCTGGAGAGCAGGTTCGCGCCCACATTGACACTTTAGACACACATGCTTTTTTAGCTAACAAAAAGACCCTCACACACACACACACACACACACACACACACACACTAACGCAGTCACTGTCACGCAAACACCCACTCAACCTGTGTATGAAAATAAAGTGCTTTACTTTTGTCCTTCACCTCACGCCTTGACCAGCTGTAATTGCTCACCAGTGTGTTCCCTTAGCAGGTGATGAAAAGCCCTTCGCCTCCAAGCAGGGCTAGAGAATCAGAGTGCTGCCAAACTGTAAAACAGATTAGACCTCTGAGACAAGAGTAGGCTGCAGACATTTATTGACTAACTCAACCTCTCATCTTGAACAAAATAAGCACACATGGAAACACATATTCTGTACATGCTTTTACTTTGTCTTCAGTTTGTGAGATGCTTTTTGGGAAACTTCGGGGAAGACTCTGAGTTACGTCAGTGGAATGCAATCTATCGTTTCACTTCATTTTATTTTACTTTAGGCCCCAGGGTGAAAAGAGCCATCGCATTAAAAAGGCATTGCGTATTTTTTTAAAACTTTGATAGGACAAAATATATGACTGAAGTTAAAGGTTAAACTCTGTCTGTGTCTCCGTGCAGCCCACCCACACAGTGATGCCTGGCCAGGTGATGAGGGTGACGACGGGTGCCCCTATTCCATGCGGGGCTGACGCTGTAGTCCAGGTGGAAGACACCGAGCTGCTCCGCGAGTCTGAAGACGTAAGCCTACCTTCTGGTCTTTTACCCGATGAAGATGCAGAAAGTTGTCAGAGTCAGGGCTGTGCTCAACTCAACTCAACCATAATTTAGTTTTGACTCACATTTACCTTTATAAAGGGATTAGTCCATGCCAACACCATAGCAAATGAACACAGATTCTGATTGTTTGAAAGAGTAAGTTGAGCCCAGAGATGAGCGGCATACACAATGCATTTTGGTCTAGTATAGACCAATGAAATCTGAATCTGTTCCATTTGATGCATCTGACAGCTGGTTTATCTTTTAGGGCACAGAGGAGCTGGAGGTACGAATCCTAGTACAGGCTCGCCCGGGGCAGGACATCAGGTTAGTGTGTTATGTGTTGGTTGCTATTAAGAAGCCAAAACCAGAAACACAATTTTATTGATCAAATACTGAAGATCTGGTAGAGGATGTCACCCACCCACCTTTTTGTTTGTTAGCCCACCTCTTTAAGCAGTAACAAACTGATCAAGGTTTCAGTGTGAAAAGGGTATTTTAAATGAAAGCTGAAGAGACTGAAAGAATTATTGAAAGTACAGTTGGTTTATTTGGTTATGCTGCTGGATCCGTCATTCTTGATATTTTATTTACCTCATTGCTGGTTATGGCAGTTCTTGTGTAAAATACACTAAGTGTCTCTACCATTGTTTGGTTCCCAATATAACTTTGCACCTTAGACAGCAGGATATATACTAATTTGAATTGCAAAGTGCATGTTTCAGAATTCTTGACTTTTCTCTTTCTCGTCCTCTGAACTATCGTCTTTGCTGTCCTGCCCTAGGCCCATCGGTCATGACATTAAGCGTGGGGAGTGTGTGCTTGCAAAGGGCACCCACATGGGCCCGTCTGAGATTGGTCTCCTGGCCACTGTGGGAGTCACAGAGGTGGAAGTTCAGAAATTCCCCGTGGTGGCCGTCATGTCGACAGGAAACGAGGTAAGGGATTAAGAAAAACTTGCATGTCAACATTTTTATTTCATTTGGGAAATGATACTCCTCGTGCACTCAACCCACACTGTATCTGTATTTGTAAGGTTCGGCCTCAGCTGCTAAAGGTAACGACAACGTGCCGTCTTCTCTGACAGCGTACCTCGTTCATATTTATGCACAATCAACATTGTTTGCTTTGACTGCGGACACCAGAACAACATTCAGAGCTGAATGCGCACTCAGCCGTTTCATGTGTGCTTTCAGTTGTGAAGACTGTGTTTATCTGTGACCAGGTGGTTTCTCTTAAACGCTGGGATCATATTTGTGCATTTTCTGTGTGACTGATGTGCTGTTTAAATTTCATGGGGTGTGTAACCTTCATGGAGATCCTCAGCAGACTCTAGATACCCATAACACCTTGTTCTCGGTGCTATGCAGATATATCTGAATCGTGTAAATCAGCCGAGAGTAACCTACCCCATGGCCACATTCAAAATCTATTAAGTGGTATATTGTCCTCATCTCCCCTCTTTGAGCTAGACTGATGAAATAAAGGATTTGTCTTCTCATTTTTACACACTGTTAATTTGACCATCTAGATTTTGAGTACATTCTCTGTACTAATGCTGCAGATGAAGAAAAATAGGAATATCTGTGCAGAGCTGGCTTTTACAACTGAAAGTATGCAGTATGTCTGCCCATAAACCCACTGTGAACCTGCTGAATTAGATGCATGTTCATTTGTGGTGTTGCTTTCCTTTTTATAATTGCAGTAATTAGCAGTGCTTGTTGACGTTTCCTCAGAAACAGAAAGTTCCAATTTGTAGTTCTTCATTATCAAAAGAAGGGAGGTCAAAATTTATGAATGTAAATAGAAGACGAACATAATGCCAATACCCATTGAACCAGTTAAATAATTGACTTGGCAAGTTGTTCTTAGTTTTGTCTGAAAGTAGGGCTGCAAATGATGATTATTTTTCATTTTTCATTCATCCATATTTATCTTATGATTTTTTTTTTCAATTAATCGATTAGTCATTTATTCTATAACATGTTACAAAATAATGAAACATGCGCATCACAGGTTCCCAGGGCCCAAGTTGATGTCTTCAAATTGCTTGTTTTATCTTACCAACGGTTCAAAATCCATTCAAAACGGCAGAACCAGAGTTTGAATGGCATTTATTGCTAGATAAATAATTTGAATAATGAATTGATTCTCAAAATGTATGGCAGTTCATTTTCTGTTAATCGACTAATCGATTAATCATTTCAGCGCTATCTAAAAGCACATGCGTCAGGCAGTGTCTTCTTTACCTCTTAGTCACTGTAAAATATTGTGTATTTTGGAAATTAAATTTCTGGCAATCAGTGTATTGTCCTATTTTTCACAACCAACCCATTTGATACCAAGAGCAGGCTAAGCATAGTAATAATATGAGAGTAATCAAAAGATGATTGCCTCCAACCTCCCTGTCGAGCTGAATAATTAGTTTTATACCCACCAGACTTACTGCCACCCAAAGATATGCTCAGAATATTTTCTGAACAATGTTAAAGGCAGATATTTTCCTTACACCAAGTTGAAAAAGTACAGCTATTGAATGATTAAGAAGTGTTTCTGATCACTTCTCCCTGTGTGTCGTGGTAGCTGCTGAACCCAGAAGACGACCTCCATCCTGGGAAGATCAGGGACAGCAATCGCTCCACCCTGCTGGCCACCATCCAGGAGCATGGCTACCCCACCATCAATCTGGGCATCGTGGGAGACAAGTAAGCCATCATGTTGATAATGCATTTGTCACACCTCCAATGCTAGAAAACCACAGTTTAACCCCTCGACTAGACCCCAAGCAATTCAGAAGAATTTTTCCCTCACACGAAGATAAGCTTTCATTTTAATCTATCCAGCTGTGTGCATCGGCTCCGTGCAGCTAACCTGCAGTTCACTGTGTAACGCTTCACGTTGACTGTTCAACGCTTCCTCTGAACAGAAATAGTCAGTCCTGCTGTGTGTTTAGTTCCATTAGCTGTTAGCTCTGTTGGCCATACACACAGCACTGCTAACACCAGCTGCTAACAGCTAACCAGGTCTCCTCCTACCGACATGAGAAGACGTACGCCGTTGTAGTCAGCGCTTTGTTCAGTTTGTCATTTTCAAAGTGCTACATTAAACTCAACAGAAACTAAATAAAACTCACCAAAACCGTCTTGTTCCAAAAAGCATCAACTCTGGCTTGGTCAAAATAAACACTTAATTCACTGAGTTACATTTTTAAAAAAGTGCTGTACACGCAGTTTCCCCCTTCTGTACCTTTCTCCCCCCCTGAGCAGCTGCTGAGCGGCCAGTTGAGAGTAGTGAGGAGTCAGCAGTCAATCACGGCATTAAAAATATGTTATCAAAAAGTTTGAATCACTGCGACCACAAGAGGTCCCTGAGCATACAGTCGTAAATAAGAACAAAAAATATTCAGCTGATGGGTCCAACAGTATGCGAGATGAGCAGTGGACAGACACAGAGATGTACACACACTCACACACATGCAAATGACCAGTTACATAAGCTCCTGACAGAGTTAATAATAATGTTCATCATCTTCCTATACTACCTCCAAAACTAACTCTCTATTATCCTTTTCCCTCCATTATTTCCTCTTCTGTGAGTTGGTGGTTAACACGTGTGTGTGCGTGTGTGTGTGTGTGTGTGTGTGTGTGTGTGTGTGTGTGTGTTTCTCTGTGCCCCACAGCCCCGATGACCTTCTCAACGCTCTGAATGAAGGCATCAGCCGAGCTGATGTCATCATCACCTCAGGAGGAGTGTCCATGGGAGAGAAGGTATCATTGCGGAACATAAAGCGCACACATCCAATCATGGCATTGTGTTTTACTGACACCTTGTGGTGGACGGGGGGAACGACCATCTTTATTTGAGAGTAAATGATGATAAAAGCACCAAAACTCAGATACTTATAACTTCTTACTTATTTGATTGTTTGGTTTTTATTTTATTTTATATTCTAGGTGATCTCCAGTAGCTACCCACACAAATGCAAAAGTATTTTAAAACTTTACTATTTGGTGAAGGTCGGATTTTTTAATGTATTGCTCTTTTGTGTTTTTTTAATGTTTTTTTAATTTCAATGTATTTTTTAGGACTACCTTAAGCAGGTGCTGGATATTGATCTTCATGCTCAGATCCATTTTGGTCGTGTTTTCATGAAACCAGGGTAAGAAAATGACTTTGTTCTCATACAACTTTTCACACTTTAGCTATCAAGTGCTCAGCAGACATTTTAAATAGATTAAATACCAGATGTACATTTACAGCGGTGTTGCATAAAACGGCAAAATGTACTAAAATGTTGTTTTTTCTTTTTTTAGTCTCCCAACAACATTTGCCACCTTGGACATGGACGGTGCTCGCAAACTAATCTTTGCCCTCCCAGGTAGTGTGTGAAGTTGAGAGAAAGAGTGATTCACTCCGCTGTTTCCGAGGAGGTGTTTCTCATATATTTCTCTCTCTTTTCTCTTTTCGCTGTCCTCTCTCTGTCCGTCCGTCCGTCCGTCCTAGGAAACCCCGTGTCCGCTGTGGTCACCTGTAATCTTTTTGTCATCCCTGCCTTGAGGAAGATGCAGGGCATTTTGGACCCTAGGCCCACCATCATCAAAGCGAGGGTAGGATGCACAGGGCAACCAGGAAAGCCTGACTCTCTGGCCAAGACACACAAAGTCAAAGTTCATCATCTGTTGAGGCCCTGGTGGTTACAAGAAGTGTTTTTTTTTTTTCTGTTTAATGACCAGACACAAGGTCTCCGCTGAGGTCAAAAAAGGTAGAAAGACCAGTCTCTGTATGCAAAAAGATCCTTTCTCTTCCCATATGTGAACATTTGAGTGTAGATGCAACAGAGAAGACACATTACAATTGCACTTAAGTTCCAGGGTGTATCGTTGCAGTCCATTGCATCTTAACTCATGACTTAATACTATTTTATTCATCCGTTTGATACATATTTATGACCATTAAGTTCTGCTTTGACTTGGCAGAGGAAGCAATCACGGGCCGACACTGACCTGAAGGCCTGCTCCCTGGGCATGAATATTCATAATTGTAGAGCAAGAAAAATCGTAATGATATCAACAGCCGCAGATTGTGCCTCCAACTAGCATCATCAAGTGAGAGGTCTGGTCGCTTGCCAGCATGGGTGCTATCCAGAGAGCTATGTTACATAACGTGCTGTTATAGAGCAGTTAGAAATCAACTTGAATGCATTACTGCCACTTAGTGGTGGGACCGATGGCCTGGAAGCACAGGTGTAGCCGGATAATGACCCTCAGCAGATGGCATCAGACTCAGGTCAAACTGGAAAAGACGTTGAGTATGGTTTAAAAATGCAAAAAAAAAGGTGTTTGACAGAATGTGGGTGGGCAGATAGCCTTTTACCCATGTTAATTATATTTAGTCGATAGTCCAGATCCGGGATTTTTTCCATTTTTTTAGCCACAGTTACTGTGCTGCATTCAAGTGCTGGAATAAAAAGTTAGATATCAAGGACTTCTCTAATTCTGGCAGAAAATCAAACCTTTACCACATGCTAAACAAACATGTAATGCGTCTAAAAGCTTTGTGGGAATTTTTTGGCACACATTCACCCACTTCCAAGGTGCAGGGAAGAGGCCTGTCATGTGGGTCATGAGTCCAAAGACAGTCTGCAATCCATCATGAAACCTACTGTTACTTTAGTCTTTGTTGCTGCCATAATAGTGAGGTTTGCAACATCCGACAATACAATGAGTTCCAGGGTTCTCAGAAATAATCTGCCAATTTAGTATTATGTTTCTGCACTATATGAAATTACTCTCTACAGTAAATCATTATGAATTACAGACAAATACCCACGGTGATGAAGAAAACTTGTTGACATACATCATTATAATTTACGTTGTATGTTATTTCTCTAGTTGTCTTGTGATGTGAAGCTAGACCCTCGCCCTGAATACCACCGCTGCATTCTGACATGGCATCACCAGGAGCCTCTGCCGTGGGCACAGAGCACAGGTACCAGCACCAAAGCCGGTACAGTACTGTGAAGGATTCTGTCTGACAGCCACACATCTCAATCAGACTCTCATTTGTTCACTGGTTGACAGCACCATTTATTTAATTTACCGTTCCTTGTCTAGCAAGGAATCCAAGGATTAAAAAACAAAACAGATTTATGGAATCATTTTTAGGCATGCAGTTTTTCACAATTATGAGTTCATAAAATACTCAAAATAAACATACTAACTCACTGAATTGCAATTACTTCATATAATCATGTCCCTCACATTTTTTCTATGCAAATATTTTGGTTCATTTTTGGGATATTTTAAAGTTGATATCCGCCAGAAAAGAAAACGCCCATCTGTTAGAGAGGGCACCATGTGGACCAGGAGGGAGTCTTTTGCTGCATGTTGTCTCCTCTCTCTCCTTTCCAGACTATCTCTCTCCTCACTATCTAATAAAGGCAAAATAGCCCCCAAAAAAAATCTTGTGCACTCAGTGCATAGTGGCAGTTGTAACCTCAGTAGATCTTCATAAGGGTAGATTGATTACATCTGTTACTCTATACACACTGTTACACACTGGAAGTATACATTATTCCACACCACAACCACCTTAGGTTCACTGATTAGAGCAACTGGCCACTGTAGTATTTTAATATTAGCCAGTTTGACAATGAAAAATATGATAACAAACGGCAAACTTAAGAGAATGTGTTAACCATTGTAATAAATGACGGTATGAAACTGTAAAATGCAAACTCCCAATTTCCTTCATGGGTTGAATTCTTATACAAAATATGTTGTCCTCTCTGCTGCAGGGAACCAGGTGAGCAGCAGGCTGATGAGCATGCGCAGTGCTAACGGGCTCCTGATGCTACCTCCGAAAACAGAGCAATACGTGGAGCTGCACAAGGGCGAGGTGGTTGACGTCATGGTCATCGGCCGGCTATGATGTCATCACGGGGGGACGGAGCGTCGGCGTCATATAGCGAGGGTTGGAATGGGTGGTTCACGGTGCATGTCCACATATCATTGACTATTCTGTAATATGCAACGGCACAGCTAGTTTTTATTGATTTGGATAACGTTGAGGTATAGTCAACATCTTGATCACAACCTAGATACATATGAAAAAAATTAATTTAAAAAGATTATAGTATTTCAAACAAAGAAAATATAACTTTTAATGAAAAAAATCTAATTATAAAAAGAGATTTATTCTGTAATATATTATTATGATTATTCTTATTATTATTATCATTATTCTTCTTATTATCATTATTATATTAAGGCAACTTCGTTCCTTTCATTGCAATTGCTTTGTGTGTTCAATGCTAGACCTTATCTATAGCAGTAGCATTTTAATAGACAGCTGTAGGTGCCTGCCAGGACAAAAAAAGAAAATTATTATTTTCTCATCTTTAGTGTAAAAAAATAATCAGTTTTTTGAAAATGAAGAAAACATTGAGGAAGACTCCAGATTTCCCATGGTGCTCAGCTAAAAGGAAGAGGGGGCACATCAAGACCACTTCCTCTTTTGAGCGCCCATCAAGGTGACACTTCTGTTTTTCTCTCATTAGTATGCATCATAATGGCTTCACAAAGAGCTTTGCTTGTTGTTTATCTTGTGAGTCTTGTTTATGTGCGCAGTGCCAAATGCCTGGGCAGGGAAGAGGTGATGTTGAGATGGGGAGGTGGGGGGGCACAACCCAGTCTGCCCAGACCCTGAAGCTTCCTTATATTCACGGTGACCGGGTGTAAACTTTGCCCCAAACCCCCCCAAGGGGCGAGCTTAACCTGGGAAAAATAATCTTTTATTTGATCAACTATTTAAGAATAAAAAAAGAAATAAAAGAAGCAGCTTCTTTAAGTGCTGACAGCCTTTTTAACCAACTTCACAAAAAATGTACAGAAAAAATAAGAACCATATTGTACAGATATATGTGACCAGCACTCCTAAGGAAATTATTAAGCAATGAGGAGACATTGAACAACGCTGTACTATAACATTTTCTGTAATGATATGAAACTGATGAAAGAGACTAAGATAATAAAAATCCTTGATCATTATGTAAAAAAAAAAGTTCTTGTTGGGTTTCCTTTTTTAATAAAATATATCTGAAGAAAAAACAGTGATTTTCTTCTTTGGTACTAAGAGTTTGGTAGACGGCCTAAAGTTTAGAGAAGTGCATGAATTATGAATGAATGAGTAACATCTTACCTTCCATAGCAATCATTGTCGAGGTCCATGTGGATACAGTTTACAAATGTGAATGTGTTTTAACTGCATTAATATGAAGGTTTTCTAAGATATACTAAGAAAAAAATCCCTCAAAAGTAAGTGACTCAAGCACTGTATTAAGTACACTTTTGAAGTACTTGACTTGAATATTTCTATTTTATCCACTGTCTATATTATAGAAGGAAATGTATTTATTCTTTTCTCCACTGCATGTATTTGGTAACTAGTTATTTTTCAGATTCACGTTTTACATGAAAAGCTTCTAAAATACAATGATGTTTGAATATGAATCCAGTGATTTCCATCCTTTTTACAACCTCGTCCAAACAAAAGCAGTGTCTCGGTTGGGCCCCTTGTCAGAATGTTCTGTCTATCAGTTGTTGGCCTCTCCACCTTCCCCTCTAAACTCCTCACATGGCTTCATTTAAAGTTATGAATCTCAAAGAGCTCTGTTTCGTTTTCTTTGACGGCACCTATGGCTATAAGCGGTAATTGCAGGTGTGTTTTTAGGTGTGTGTTTTCGCACTTCCCAGAGATACAAATTCTGGAATGTCACCCAGTTCATATTACTGCAAATACAAGATCTTACAGCAGTGGGCCATAGGCTCAATTACCAGTGTGTTACCTCATTTGGCAAAAGATAGTGACTTACAGACATTTTTTCAAATGAAAATCTTTGAGATTATTATTTTGAAGAACTGTTCATGGCCCAAAGACGTCAAATCATCCAATACTTCACAAAACAGATTTATGTGAATGAATATAAATTTGTATTTAAATAGTTTTTCATTGTTTTCTATCTCATTAATTATCTCATGACCCCCCAAATTATTCTTGTGACCATAGGGGACCCGACCCATAGATAGAGGATCCCTGCACATATTAGTTACAGCAAGTTTTAAGTACTTCTACTGCAGAACAAGTACTTAGGCTTCTAATATTTTGAGTATATTTTCACTTCATTCACCACTGCTTCTTAGATGAACAAAGAAACAAAGCTGCATTTGAATGAAGCACTGCAAAGCAAAGGGGATTTTAACTGTCTTTCTTTCTAGGAAGGTAAGTATTTAAGAATCGGGTACTGGCAGGAGAGAGCCTAATGAGGAAAGGAGGTTAAGCGCAGAGGTGTCGGAAAGGATTAACCTAATAGAAAATACAGCAGGAAAAAGGCCGCTCCAGGCTTTGGTGTAGATATTTCTGAGGCTGCATGAGATTAGACAGTTTCTGTTCTGCTCTGCCAGGTGAAATGACAGTAGATCCCATTAGTTGGTGATGATTAATAATGCTGTGACGAGAACTTATTTAAATTCATCTTTGTGAATGGGTTGAATGTAAAGGGATCAGTGTGGAGATGACTGTACAGAATAACGGCAAATACTCTCTACCCTCAATTGCAATAAGTGTATTTTATTTATTAGAGGATACAGAGACAGAGTAACAACAGGTTTGCCAAGCATTTCATCTGAGTTGCTCTTTGAGTTTCAAATTTTCCAAGAAATACTTCAACTTGCTGAGGCCATCGGGATAAAAATTTAAATGGATGGCAGGATAATTAGTGATAATTTCGGGTCTGCATGCATGAGAAGGCAGGAATTGTCATATCCCATTTGGCCAGCTCTTCTTTAAAGCTTTATGATATTTTCACTAAATTAAATATTCAAACCCAAATGTTTTTTGTGGCTGTATAGCTGACCATTCCATCACATGGAAATCTTTCTTTTTATTATTTTGTGCATTTTAAGCTTGACATATTTGGTATCTTTGTGATCTTAGTGAAGTGCTGTGGGTTTGAACGATGTTTATCTTCATATTTTGCACTGTTTAAAATGATGTTTTCATATAATGCATCGGTAATTATTACAAAGGCTATTCATAATGAGTGGTCTTTTACTTTTAGTTGAAGTATTTTCTTGATTTCTGTACTTTTGCCTAAGAGAGTAGCTTTTACTTTTACTTAAGGAAAATTACTACTTTTACTTTACTTTCACCACTAGTTATCACAATTGTCAGAAAGCAAATACATACATTTACTCCAGTATTGTACATTAATACTATTTTGAGGTACTTTACTTGAGTAATTCCATGTTAAGCTACTTCATAGTTCGGAGGGAAATTTCACACTTTTAACTCCACTAGATTTATTGACAAAAAAAGTTACTGGTTTCTTTTTAGATTCAGGTTATTATTGATAATAATAATCAAATAGATATAAACATGCTGTATTATTGTAGACTAAACTACCTGACAGTCTATAAAGTAATCAAAACAACCACTACCTTCACCAGCTGCAACATTAAAGTGATGCTTTCACATTAATGCACCTATAACCTCAATTCCATTGTCAATGTTGTTGTATAGGTTTATGTTCATATATATATATATATATATATATATATACTTTTGGACATATATTTATATTGTACATAGTCATTAAATGTTTATACTTACATCTGTTCTACTTTCTTTGTTGTCCGTGTATTATTTTTTATATTTTTCTTGTTTATTTGTATATTCTATGTATGTACGTTGTGAGCAAAGTGAAAACCGGAGTCAAATTCCTTGTATGCGTATTTGAACGGGGGGGGGGGGCGCTGTGGAGCCGCAGTGTTGCCAGGGAGACGACTCAAAACACCAGGCTCAGTTTCACAGCAATGGCCACAAGTGTCCCGAGCACGGGGTCCCGACTGTGCCTGGACAAAAGTCACTGCAGCGGCTGAACGCGATCCTGTGAAGACCGGGGGAGAGACCTCGCGCTTTGCCTGACCGTCAATAAAACACACTTTACCAGAGGTTTGGATTATGGAGTAATAACCACTTCTTCTTCTTGTCTGAACCCACTCAGCCGTCTGTATTTAAAGTGGTGAGTAAACGCAGTCTGTTACGGGACAGCTAACCTAACCGTTAAGCTACGCAGTTAGCGGCACCAGGCTGCTAAGCTAAATTGGCTTCTGTTGTTAATACAAGTTCAATTATACACAGTAGGATGAACAGCAGCGTGTTTCTGAACGTATGTCTGCTGTTGCTGGTGTTGTATGAATGTGCTACATCGTTGCTCTTTCGTAAAGTTGCACTAAACGGATATCTGTTTCCACACAATAGGATAAAGACCGTAATTCCCCTTGTGACTCCGTGAAATCCGTCTCCCTAATGATGCCTTCATTTAAAGGTGCCTCAAACCAAGCCGGCTGACGTTAGTTTATAAAACAACATGACTGAAGAATGATTTCTATTTTCACTCTCAAAGTTTATGCATGTGAGCTAGTTAGCTAATTAATTAGAGATCTGGTGTTGGAGGGTAAACCAACCGAAGCTCAGTTTACGTTAACTATCTGTCATTTACGTTACTTTTTGTGATACACCTTACTTTTATGATAATTAGGTCAAGTAGCTTAACAAATAACTACTCCTATAGCGTAGGAGCTGTCATTGATTGGCATTTATACAAGTGATGGAAGGATAGTTCAAGCCATTAGCATGAAGGGTTTATTTGTACTGTCTTTATCTATAACTGTGTATGTTTCTGTGACAATAAATCAAAATCTTAGTTTGGAATAAATTACATTAGGACATAAATTGAGAAATGCATCACTATTTGTAAATAGCCTTTACAAGACTGATTGTATTAAGTATGCCAGCGTAGGACATGCCCCTGTTATAATTAACAGCATATTCCAGATCTTTCAACCATATCTCCTCGAGCCTTGAGCGAATACGTACCACTGGAGTTGTTTTCAACATGCATTGTTTGGCACACAATTCAAGTTGCAGCACTGTTATCAGAGGAATATCACACATTTGCCTCAGGGGGGCTTCACAATCTGTACAACATAGGACACCCTCTGTCCTTGGACCCTGGCATTGGATGAGGAGAGCAACTGAGGAGGGATCTCTCTCCTAGGAGGGACAGGCATGCAATTGATGTCATGCGTACGGAATAAACAACATAATGAGAAACACAGGGGAGGATATTCTAGCACCATTACTGATAAATTCAGTATTTTATATTTTTGATTAGCTCTTATTTAATTTGTCACCATCCCTGTAATCTTGTAAACTTTCTCCACATATCTTACTGACACCAAACTGTTGGTATTGCGTGGTTTGTTCATGTCTCGGTGGGTGTGCGCGCTTCCATTCCTTCTCATTCGTCTACACAAGTCCCTTCTGTCTCTCCCTTCCCAGCATCCCTCCCAGTGCTGTTGTGACCACCGAGCTAGACTAGGGCATGAGATCCCAGGCTTAATTAAGCCCACAGGAACAGATGGCCCGCTGGCAGTCTTTGCTGTTTGTCAGCCGTGCACCGCCACTCTAAACGTAGCTAAATGCTTCCGCATGGGGAGGGGTTCAGGAGCTTGGTCCAGGAGCCGGGGGATAGACCTGCCAAATGTAATTAGCTGTGGGAAGTAGGTAGAAGAGGGGGAGGGATGCCATGAGCTAGCAGGTGTCATGTGTGTATGACTGACTATATGCCAACGGTGGCTCTTAGTGACAAAGCCATGTTTATCCTTATGGTACTTGAGGTTTTTCCTTCATCCACACAGAATGATGTGTTTAAATGTTAGGCCTAAGTAGTAATAAGGTCAAACGTGTAAGTTCAATTTCTCAATTCTGGTTCCAGGAAATATGCAAATGTTTGTGTCAAGCCTACAATGTGTTTACGTCACAGCAGGTTTAGAGAGGGAGAGCACTACCTAAGCCTCTGCATGGTATTTCAACTAAAGCTATTGTCATTATGTGAAAAATAAAGCCAGGCTTTATAAATAGCCTTATTTGTGGCCTGCAGGGAACACTTTCACTCCTCACTCAACGGTTTTCTGTTCTAGAAGATAGATTACGTTTTTTTTCACACACACTGAACTAACATAGACTTCAAGTGAATACCTCCCAACTATACTACAGAATTTGCGAATCCAGATTAATACACAAATAATACTTAAATAGATAGAGAGAGATCAGGCAGTAGCCTAGTAGTTGTGTGTTAGGCATCGCATTTAAATGCAGTATTTTTATTTGGGCATCCGTTATCGGCTACAGATGGTTGAACTGATGGGATTTCAGGTGGCTGAGGCCAGAGAGCTTTCCATGTTAGGAGTTAGATTAGTGGTGCGATAGATGAGACGAGGTAGGAGTAAAGTTGTCCCCTATACATTAGGACTGGGTAATATGGCCAAAATATTCTGTCACGATGTAGGTAACTTCATACCTCAATAATGACGTATATCAACAAAAATAAGAAAGCCATTTAAAATAGTACCATTTAAAGAAAAGCTATATATGTGTATTATAATGTATATAGTCATCTATTATGATAATGATTGCTTTCTTTGCAAACCATGAACATATTTTGAAAATTAAAATGAACCCAGATGCACCCTTCAAGGCCTCTAAAGTATAACAGAAAAGAGAATGTGATGGCAGCTAAGGCTCCAGAGTCCTCCGTTATAGTTTCAGTATTGTCAATTAAGCTCTCAATCACTCTGTCAGAGCAACAGTCAAACTGGTGCGCATCTTTTTTGTCAATGATATCGGGGTTGGAAATACATTTTCCCACCTGTCACTGTGGCTGGTGGATTCCACAATCTACCAGCTAGGCTGGTGAGTGAAGCAAATCTGGCTGCCACATTTGGCGAATTTCAAACCCTGAATGACACCTTTCACCTTCTGTTTATGATTAATAATGTGAGAAAAGAGACAGCCAAGAAGTGATTTTTTTTAACCTTCTCTAATAAAAGAAATTGTACAAAAAGGTTTGCCATCCTTAAAAAGAAAATACCTGACTTTGTCCACCATGTAAACACTTATATATATATATATATAAAGCAAAGTTAATGAAAAATGCTTAAGATAACAAAGGAAATACATTTTTACTCTCTGTTTGTATTTCAGGGTGACAGATCACAGAGAGAACATAAAGGACGTCCTCCGCTGGCATGCTATGGCCTCTGTTTTGAGCAGTGTCTCATAGTACTCGAGCAGATCTCAGTAAACACTGGGGTGGTTTGAGCTGTATGCTGCTGCAGCAGGGGCGATCATGTCCCATATGAACGGTTATGTGCAAGAGGCCTCTGGTCAGGCCAAGAGCCACAGGGAGAGGGCAGTGGACTGTCCAGGGGACGAAAGTAGCCTTGTCAAATCTCCACACTCCAGTGCCCACATGGAGAGGATTCAGCACTACCAGGAGGAGCTTAAGAAGAGGAGAGAGGAGGACAGCAGGGGGAAGCATGACATCGACCCCAATGCTTCACTGAGGCTCAAGAAGCTGTCGCAGAACCCCAAGGTGGGCATTGACAATCCCACCTTTGAGGGAAAGGAGAAGGTCACCAAAGACACGTTCCTCCAGGATCCTGTAGCTGGTGAGTTGAGAGGGGGAGGGCAGTACGGGTTAGAGGGTCTTTACTGTGGTCTAAAAGGATGGAAGGAGGCAAGAAGGCCACAAAGGAGGGCAGCAATCTAGACTTCAGAGAACACAAGGGAGTAAAAGAAAACAAAAGGAGTAAAACAATGACTATTGAGGGCACAGAGCAGAGGAGGGTTGTGTGATTTAGGGGCTGTCTATTTCCACCGGTTAGGGACTTGGTCCTGTTGTCACAGGAAAATAACATTTATGATTAATTATACTGATAATACAAAGGGGTATTACATGTGTCCACAAAATATTTGTTGTGTGCACAACTCATCAATGTGTGTGAAGAAATTGATTGATTGTGTACTCAAATTAAATGGAAAAAATTAGCTCATTATTATATCAGTCACTTTTACATAAATAGTTGAATTTACTTGATCACCTCTGCCACGGAGGTTATGTGTTCGGGTTGGTTTGTCTGTCAGCAGGATTAAGGAAAAACCATTGGACCGATTTTCATGAAACGGTGGAAAGAGCGTAGCATGGGCCAAAGGAAGAACCCATTACATTATGGAGCGGATTTGAATCAAAGGGCAGATTCACACATTATTTTCCCCGCATGGAAACAACCTTGTTGGAGGTCTGCACGCTCCGAGGGCCCTTCTAGTTGCAAAGAGTGTCTAGTGAGAACAGAAGTGAGAGTTGATTGTCATGCAGAAGGTTCTGACATCTTTGATAGCCTATATGCAGCAAATGACATACATCAGATCTGTTTCTTATAAAGACAGTTATGTTTTGAATGCACCTGTTGGAAAGGTGTGGACAGGCAGGCAATACACCTCTACACCTCAGAAAGCAGTGAGGTAGAATCTGGGTGACTCAAGAGACTCAATAGACTAAATATGTTCGCGCCTCCCAGAGTCATGAAAAGCTCTTCATTAAATTCTTAAATATGGACATCTGCATATCATATGAAGCTCCTTTCTCTTAGAAATAACAACTTCAAACCTAATTTGCAAAAGCACACACATGCCTCTTAGCATTTTGACTATTCCTGAATTATGAGATGGAAGACACGCCCCTGTGTTTCTCTGTATTGCCTCTGTACTGTTCCCTCACTGTCTCTACCTCTTGCTCAGAACTGGCGGAGTTGTTGCAGGCTCTGAAGTGGGCGCATCACTGCCTGACTGATGCGCAGAGCCAGCAGGATGTGGAGCTGATCATGCAGCTCCTTGCCAAGGAGGACTTCAAGAATGCCTACACCATCTACATTGCCGTATCCCAGCAGATGACGAGAGTCATTCCCACCTCACCCCTCACGGCACAAGCAGAAGATCTCTGCCAGGAGGTACCCATAATGGTCATTCTGAAACAACTGAAAACTATCAGTTCAAGTTAACGTAGTTTACACTGCTGCGTCTTATAGTTTAACAGCTCCAGGAGAAACTGAATCGGGGGAAAATAGACAAACTTGTACCCAGAGTAATGAATAACTCACTTTAGATTTTAGAAATGTTTTAAGCATGCCACAAAATCTATTCTGTAGCTCATGAGACTAGCAGTAGTGGAGTAGTAAGAGGTGGCAGTTTGTGCATTCAGGCATAAACACGCTGAGATTGTATTTGCCAATTTGTGTTTTGGACCACATTAAGCCTATTTTCAGAGGCAAGTACCTCTGCGGGTGAAGTATCTGAACAGACTCAATGAAGCATGAAAAATCTTTGCTTCTGGTGATGATTAATTAAAAAAGGCTGGCCAGAAGACAGCCATGCCAGTCTGAATAATTATAAAATGTAAATTGTCTTGTGGTTAAAAACAAGGTGAGTGAAAACAAAAATGAGGCATTTGTTGGATCCCGGGCCGTGCATGGAAGTAGAGTGTGCTGGGAATTGAAAAGAGGCAGAAGAAAGAAAAAATGATATTGGAGAATTAGGGAGAAAAGAGGAAGGAAAGGGAAGAAGGCATTAACTATGACAGTGCTGACTCCTGAGCCCCCCCCCCCCCCGTACAGAGAGTGACATAGAGCAAGAAACCATCCCAGTATTCAGGTTTGAGTAGGTGGGAATGTGACACACTTGACTTCCTCGTTGACAAAACACAAGCCGGTTGTTCCCACTGAAGCAAAGCGACAGTAATTGACTAGTGTCCCTGTGGAGCCCAGCCTCTGCACGTTGACTGTTCGAATGCAGCCACGGTCACACAGAGCTCGGTCCCCGACAGAAATGGTGATATGGTTTGCTGTGAATTAGGTAGAAGCTCTATACAACAATGACAGGCTACGCCCAGAGTAAGCACTTCATTAGGATTAATGTCAACGTTTGATAGGTGTAGCATGAAAGAATGTAATACAGGCTTTTCAGCGCAGTCAGACTGGTGCAGTGTGATTTTTTTTTTTTTTTTTTATTTTTTTTTTTTTTTTTTTTTTTTTTTGATTTGCAAGATGTGTAAGAGTCAACCTTGTTTTGAGGAAACAGGCTGCTAGAGTTCATTCAGAGGACACCAAGCATTACAGCTACAGAATCTGTATTCCAGTCTTGACAGGAGTTTGAGGATAGAGGGGCTGGGTTACATGATCGGTTTTGCTTCTCTCCCACCAGGCGTCACAGCTCCCGAAGTGCTTAACAACACGTAATAGTTTGAGCTGCAGTGTGTCCTAACTAAGTGGCTGTGATGTGTGTCACTCAGTTTGGCTGTTGGGTAAACTAATCTCCCAGCAGCCCATGGTGCTGGCTGAGGCGGCGCAGCACATCGCAGGAAGGAGGGCAGGATCTGGGCGGCTAGAAAAAGAAAGTCCAGCAGCTTACAGCAGCGTGGATCGAGGCGCAGCGCTGCTGGGGGGGGGGGGGAAGTGCGTCACCTTGTTAGTGAGGGTTTGATTAGTGTAATGGATGAACTAAGCTGCAAACAGGAGATGAAGAGGAAGAGGCAGAAAGACGGAGTGTCAGAACAACAAAATGCCTTCTGATATGAAGTCCAAGCCGCAAACAATAGCAACTTCCCACTAAATGACAACACAAGAAACAAATGATTAAAATAGAGCAGAACAGAGGAGAAGAGAACGGAAGGAAAAAATTGAGCAGAGTGGAAAGTCTGAAAAGCCATGGAAGAAAAGAGGAAGTTATTCTTGTAAAATCTGTGCAAATAAACACAGAACATGGATCCTTTTCTAGATTGTGTATAGTCGTCGTCCCCCCTCCCCTAGTGTAACAGCAATTGCAACAGTTAATTCTGTTATTATACTACAGGATTACAACAATAGGTATTGGGTCAACCTGTGCTTCGCAACTATGAAATCTGCTCTTCTCAATCTAAAACATAATGAACAATATTGTCGGGTGTAAGTGTCAGAAAATAAACCCTGTTGGAAAGGGCTAATTTCAGCGAGATGCTAAACACAGTCTCATGAATAATCAAGGGATACAAGTGAAGTAAGATGTGGAAATACAGTTTTCACCAATTGAAGAACCTGTTATACAATTAGAAAACTATGAATGTAAACCACTCATGAGGTTTCTGTATGTTTTGTGTTTGGGATATCTCAACACAAACTGAGTTATGATGTGTCAAATGATGACAGTCTCCCCTGAAGTTTGTGCTATTGAATGGATCATTGATCCACTGAAGTCCAAAGAATGCATCCTCTCAGTGGCATTCATTTAAGTGAGGACTTGAGTCACATAGCTTAGGGCCACGTCATTCTAAAAAAGAAAAACTAGTTTGTACAATGTCTTGTCTTACCACGTCAGAATTCAAAAGCGTGTGTACTTGTTCCAAATGGCCACACTCACCTACGGCTGTAAGACGGCCATCATAGAAAGGGATGATGCCGCGGTTATCGTTAAATACGGTGAATAGAGTCGCACAGTCTCTCCCTGAAGACATTCGGAGTGTTGTACTTGGTTGTTCACATGAAAAGTGAAATAGTTGTGTCACGCATGGGGAAAAAAAAAGAGAGCTTGCGAGAGAAGTTCAAGCCCCGGGCTTTCCTTCTCACCTCCACACAGCTGGCCAAGCAGCGCGTGTAGTGAGCGTGAATGTCCGGTTGTCGGTTCCGGCAAGTTACAGAGGTTGTCGGTTTCACGATCTATTGCGCCATCCGACAAGCAGTTCTGATGGAGTCTGGCAGCTTTCAACTCAAATCTGACCGAAGTCAGAGTTTTAATTAGTTGTCTTAATGTTTAAGAAAAAATACTCGGGTTCTAGTGACTTTAGACTTAAGGGTCTAAATTGGTACTAAACTCTTTTACTTTGTTCTTGACTTTACTTGGTCACCCTGATTATCTCTCTTCGTGTCATTTAGCTCACTGTAGTTCTGTGTCTGTGTTTCTGTTCAGGTCCAGAAGATCCTCCAGTCCAGCCAACATAAGGAGGGTTTGGAGCTCAACGCTCTGCTCACCAATCCTCATCTCCAGGTCAGATGTCAGATCTCAGTTGTGACTAACATTAATAACCAATGATGGCGCCTTATAGACTAACTAACTAGTAATACCCAGATAATGTGAATACTGGAAATATAAATATTGTTATACTGTACTTCCAGTCCAATAGGGTAATTGTTTCTCTTGCACCTTCAACTGTGATGTCAGACGTCAAGATTTAGTGTATGATAGTCTTTTATAAAAGGAAAGAATAACACTTAGCTGCAAACCAGTTCAAAGGTAATTGGAGGACAGTTTTTCTTAGCGATCATTATACAGACTGAGTTAAAAGGCAGATCAAATGACAGATCGCTCCATCATGATATCTTTTATGACAAATTAGTTTTATCTTTTATTATTCGATTTTTTTTTTTAAGGTTAACTAGTCTGTGATTTGCTCCGAATATTGGATCTAGTGGCTGACTCAAGGAAGGCCATTATGTAAATGTGAGCACTAAGCTTTTCCTGAAAGGACTCATGTAAACCCAATAATGAATTATGATTATGAAATTGCGACAGGCCTACTGACAAGGTGGATGCTTCTCTTAAATACAGTAATGCTGCCCAGACAGTTACAAAATGTAACTGGTTAAAATGATGTTATTTCCTGGCATAGTACCTGAAACATTACGAGGTTCCTCTTAGGTGAGCCACTTCCTCCATCTTTACAGAAACTATTAGACATCGCAGGTACGAGCAGGCCACTTCTGCCGCTGTGTAAGGAGTCACATTATGAAAAGCCGTACACACTTTGGCTTCCTGTGCATCTCTTCAGTGAACCATGAAAAGAATCAAACAGATATTCAAATGACATTGCTTTGAAGTTGCTCTACATTTGTCAGTTTAAGCTTCAGTGATTCTTCTGTAGAAACAAATGTCGCCACATTATCAGACATCATCCATTAGAGAGGCAGTAAGGTGAGGAAAGACCTCAGGTGGATGATGCTGCTGTGATTTTATGGTTGAGGGTTCTCACAGGGGAACGCCAGGGGTCGGAATTTTTGGCCTACATGACTTTGAACTACCAATTTCTCTCATTGCCCTGTTAAGCCCTCCACTGAGCTGGATCCATGTAGCCAGCGGGGGCAATATGATGTGAAGTGAGCCTGCCTTGTGGCACAGAAAGTGGAACAGATTATGTTGTTCTCTGCGGGGAGCAGAGGCTCACACTGTAGTGTACAGGTAAACAACCGCATACCCAAAACTAATGGACAGGTACATGTGTAAGGAGTATAGGCTCCATTTCATTGTTTTCATCCTTAGAAATAAGAGTTCCTTATTAAAGGCTGAGGTTCTACCCAGAACCATTTGGGGATAAGCCAAAGAGCCCTATATGGTTCTAGTTAGCGCCTGTATTTCTAAGAGTGCAGGACACGGTTTCTTCGCCAGCGGGGAAGCCAACGGTGTTTGATGATTGATGGTGGTGGATCCTGACTGTTAAATGGAGGTGGAGATTAAGATGGATTGTGTGTACGCCAAAGCTTAGCCCGGCCTCTGCTCTCCTAGGTCCCCTCTCCTGCAGGATAGGGAAACTAATTTGGACCGACGGTTATTAATTGTGGGGCTCAGAGCGCTTGTCACTTTAAATGAAGTAGAGGAGCAATCTCTGTATTATATCTGGTGGGTTTGCTGACTGGTCTTGTTAAAAAAAAGATGGGTTATAGGCAGGCTTCTGGTAGCAGGTGCATGTGTTAAGTATCTTTGGTATCTTCTTCATCCGTTTACACTGTCAAACCACTCAATAAATGTTTGTCATGTTGATTACTTTATTTCCATACCAACCATAGTTGCTATAAAAGACAACATCTATACAATCAGAAGCCTTTCATGCATTCATTCTCTTGAACTCATGCGGCCTCCTCCTTTTATTTTTCTGTCCGTGTTTCTGTCCGTCACGTGTCTGTAAAACCTTTGTATGTCTGTACTGTTTGTCTCTATGTGTTTCTCTGTGTTTGTTTAATGTGGCAGGCACTGATGCAGGCTCATGACAGTGTGGCGGGGCAGGAAATGGCAGAAGAAAGTTTGACTCAGTACATTGGAGAGACAGTTAAACTGGTGCGGCTGGAGAAGGCCCGTGACACTCCACTGGTGAGACGCCGTCTAATACTACACCTCTGTTATTGCTGTGTACATACAGTATGTCTTTGTGTATTTTCTCACAGCTTCACAAGGATAGGTGATACACATCCAAAAACCTTAGTTGGTACTGTATGTAACTACAGTACAATGAAAATGTTTATGAGTTATTAAGGGAACAACAAAAAGGATGAATGATGAACAAAGACATATATGGTTGTATGTAATTGTGTTATTTATTGTTGAGTTTTTGTGTGTCTAATAAAAAAAGCCTCTACTCTAAGCCTTCACCATGCTCCACACTCACATTTATCATCTGGCTGTGTCGGTGTCAGTGTACCCACAAACCAACAGGGCAGCAAAATGCCTGTCAATGTGAGCTCCAGAGGGAAATTTGAAAGAAATTGGAAAAGACACAATGCTGTTCGCTGTATGTGACATATTTCTTTGTATTCACACTGTTGCCTCTCCTTCTGCTTTTAGACGTGTGTTTCTCTGTTCACTGTTATTTTAGAGAATATTGTGGATTTCATTTGTGTGTGTGTGTGTGTGTGTGTGTGTGGCCATCAGGGTGCAACAGTACGTAATGACATGGACAGCGTGTTGGTGAGTCGTGTGGTGAAAGGTGGAGCAGCAGAGAAGAGCGGCCTTCTCACTGAGGGAGATGAGATCCTGGAAATCAACGGGACATCTATTCGTGGGAAACATGTCAATGAAGTCCATGACTTACTGGTGAGGACCAGAAATGATCCGGTAGAAATTGAGTCTGTTACAGCTTTGTTATAGAGTACGCACGGGTGCTTCAAATGTCTATAAATCTAAAATGATATCCATTTAATACTATTAAAGGCATCTGAATGTATTCATAAAGCGGTCCGGTACTTAGACCATCTGTTCCTCCATAGCTGGTGACATTAGGTGTCACCCACAATGCATATCCACCTCTAGATTAATGTTAGTTAATGTTAGCAAGTTTGACAATCATTTATAGCCTTAGAAATTTCATTAGGTGGTTGTAGTTGATAGTGTTTGTGTTTAGACAAAAACACTAAATGCTTTTATTCTGAAAAAAAAAAAATAGCAGTAAAACAGTGCTCAGATTTTGAGGTAAATACAGTAAAAAATATAATGTAATGGAAATGTGATCCCTTCATTGCTTCTCATCTTTTCCATCAGCAACAAATGCAAGGCACTCTGACCTTCCTCCTCATCCCGAGCTCTCAGATTAAACCTGCCCCACACAGACAGACTGTGGTAAGTCTCTAATGGTGCGAGTGTGAGCGTGTGTAAGAACGCATGTTTGCATGCATGCAACGCCAACCTTGACGTTGTAAATCTCGTCACTTAGATGCACGTACGAGCTTACTTTGACTACGACCCCTCTGATGACCCCTTCGTGCCGTGTCGGGAGCTGGGCCTGTCCTTCCAGAAGGGAGACATCCTCCATGTCATCAGCCAGGACGACCCCAACTGGTGGCAGGCCTACAGGGATGGAGATGAGGACAACCAGCCTCTGGCTGGACTCATTCCAGGTATAGGGATCAGACCAGGGCTGAATACCAATATTCAGTGTGTATATAAAAACATAGTTTATTGTTTTACAAGGGCAGATAACTGCAAGGACAAATTGCTACCAATACAAAAAATCCTCTACTGGTATGGTAAGTTGTTTGATTATGTGTTCATATGTTTTGTTTAATCACTCCACTAAACTACAACACATTGTACTGTATCAACACTAAAACGCATATGGTATGTCTACTTACAATGCATACAGCTGTATATTTTAAACATTCTGTACAGTGCATGTGGCTAAAAGATGTAAGAAAGGGAGCAACAAAGTTGGAGTTACATGCAAATAAGTGTCTTTAACTCACTAAAACGTAACAACACTAAACGTTGGGGGACCAAGTCTGTTTTCAGAACAAGGGCACTTAGTTGGAAAAGGAAAAATGTGCAAATAGATAATAATGCAGAATACATTTGTTGATTAGAAATTGTCCAACCAGTGCACATATTTAGGTGAATATAAAATATATAACTATAATCTTACTAGAATATGTCACACACAATTTTTTGTCGAATGTATTAAAGCTTACTTTAGTTAATTAAATCCCTACAGTTGTCAGCAACAGCCTTGTAACACACAAACAGCATTGTGTGCATGTACTATCATTCAGTAGTGAAACTTAAAAAAGGCTGAACTCTCAGCAGAAAACAACAATTACAGAGTTAACAGTCTGTAGTACATGAAGGATACACATCTGCATGATAATAACTCTTAAACCTGTGAAGATTACGTTTAACTAAAAACTCTTCTGTCTTAAGATAAATCAAACAATGATACTTGATACCAGCGTATCAATAATTCATAAACTACACAGGACTTCTCATCCATCCCTAGTAATAGTTTTGGATACTGTACAGCCACAGTAAAGTGCTGTGAGAAACAAACAGCAAACACCACCCACAGCACATCAAGCAGATTAAAACAAACACCGAAGAATTATTCGCAATTACTCTCTGACCCATGTCTGTTGTGGCTGGAAGAAAGTCAGGTTAAGTAGTGGAAATGGAAAGCGGGGCCTGTTTGTGCCTCTTCCTCAACACGTCTGGAAACACGAGGAGGATTATGAAAAACAGCTCTAGGCCGAGAGAAGCTTGTTGGTATTTTTTGCAATTTTCCATTCCTGAGTGTAATTGCCTAGTGCATGTTTTCCATAAGCTAACTATAGAGACATATTGATGAACACCAACCAAAATGTTCAAATCTGTACATTTTTGAACTCATATGGGCTTTTAAAATGGAAACTGGGTTTGTGTGTCTATATTTACTTTGAGTTGGAGAGCTGATCTGCGTGACCTTGCTTTTCACTTTTTCAGGGAAAAGCTTCCAGCAACAGAGAGAGACCTTGAAGAAAACTATAACAGACAGGAGTCCAGAGCACCAAGGTAAGCGTGAAATGTGTAAACACGCACTATGTGGTGAGGAAATACAAGATATCATTTAGTTTCCACCCTGACTCACATGAAAATAGAGTTTGTGGTGTCTAGAAGGTGGCAACAAAGTAAACTGATAAAACCTATTTTAAAGCAAATATTTTTGACTTGTCATTTCTCCAGGGAGGCTTTGGTATGCAAAGAAAAACAAGAGACAGAAGAAGAAGAGCACGACTACCTTGAGCAGAAACATTGGTAGGACTCTTTTTCTTTCTTTTTTCTCACTCTGTTTCTTCAGAACATTTTTAGAAGTGGGTTGCTGGTTTGAGAATGTGCTCCCTCTTCCTCGCCAACCACTGTTGAGAAGCTGCACCCTTAACCCACAAAACTCCCATTGTCGCTTCTCATTTACCACAAGTGAAAGACGACCTCCTGTCCCGGGCAGCTCTCCAAGTGTCCACACATTGTCAGTGTTAACCCTACATGTTAGCCGGAGTTGACACGTCTTGTCGCTCTCGCAGCAGCTTGTCCAGACTCGTGTGTCACAGCTTAGATTAGTCTTTACAGACGGGGTCAGAGGAGGCACCGGCAGGTGCCCAGCAGGTGCCTAAATGGCTTGAAGGGGGATGTGTGATGTTGTTAGCTGACACATAGGAAACGCATATATACTCGATTGAAGGTTGAATATGAAGCAGGACACACAAACACAGGAATGATAACGTAACAGTGTGGTATTATTACCTCTCACCGGCCTCCAAAGAGAGGTCAAATCTCACAGATAGTTACAGAACAGCATCCTAAGAACTAGAGAGGATTGTGTATGTTAGTCAAGGGGGTTTCATTATCCCTTCCCAACTGTCTCTTCAGACTACGATGACATCCTGACCTACGAGGAGATGTCACTTTATCACCAGCCTGCCAATCGTAAACGCCCCATTGGTCTGATTGGTCCCACAAACAGCGGTCACGATGAGCTGCGTCGAAGGCTTCTGTCCATCGAACCGGAAAAGTTTGCCGTCGCTGTTCCACGTAAGTCGACGTCCTGTCTAAGCATGGGGGATATCTAATAATTAATGATTCATCAACAATCCATGATTGCAGATGAGGACAAAATAAGTGTTTTGTGATTTGACATATAACCTTTCATCACCTGTAACTGCACGAAATTCACAAATTTCTAATGTCAAAACATTTAACTGACAACTTAGAAAGTTAGACTATAAGTTAACTAAATACTATTTAGTTTTAACTGCGCCAATTGTTACAAAACAGCTCGAGGATTTTGGCAAGAAATAAATCAAAATGATCTATCCTTCTCCATGGCTCAGACACAACCAGAAACTCAAGGATACATGAGCGGAATGGGCGCGAGTACCATTTTGTGAGTCGGCCTGGCTTTGAGACCGACTTAGCGGCAGGAAAGTTCATCGAGTCGGGGGAATATGAGAAGAACTTGTACGGCACCAGCACCGACTCAGTTCGACATGTCATCAACTCTGGACGCATCTGTATGCTCTGCCTCCACACCAGGGTAGGAGACTTGAGTACTTGTTACTGTCTGGACAATTCCCAACATTGTTTCTGTCTTACATGTTGACTACAAAGCACATTTCATCCCTCTGTCTTGATCAAATTCAGAATATAAATTTAATTGTTTTTACGTAAAGAAGACGCCAGAATAGTGCATGGTTTGGTCTTTCCATCCATTTCATATATTTGCACGTCCCTGTTCTTCCTCTTGTCAGTCACTGCAGGTATTAAGGTCCTCCAACCTCAAGCCCTATGTCATCTTCATCGCTCCGCCTTCTCAGGAACGACTACGCTCCCTGCTGGCCTCAGACGGGAAAACACCAAAGGTACCCGCTGTACAGTGTTGCAAAACGGTATTTCCATATATTTTATTTATCATGGCGCTAATAGTAAAAAAAAAGGTTGTTAACTCCTGGTCCTCTAAATACACGAACACATTGGAAATAAAAGTATTGCATCGCATGAAACCGATACACAGCTCTCACAATATCAAAGTATTCAAATCATTCAATTAATAAAGTAACAATGACCGTACAAGCCTTTCATATTTACGTCTAAAATGTCTTGTTTTCTTTGCACAGCCTGAAGAGCTGAAGGAGGTTATTGAAAAGGCCCGCGAGATGGAGCAAAATTTCGGCCACTTCTTCGACGCAACCATTGTGAACATGGATCCAGACCAGGCTTTCCACGAGCTGCGCAGGCTGATAGACAAGCTGGACACTGAGCCACAGTGGGTGCCCACCTCTTGGCTGTGCTAGAGGTCACAGGGTTATGACTGGGTCAAAGGAGTCAAACAGAAATGAATGTTCCCGGTGATTGAAGAATGAAGGATGGACAGTGCTGATTGTCTTTGGATTTTCACTTGCACATTCTCCTCGTTTATAGAAGAGGTGACCTTTACCACATGTTGCAGGGATGGACTCTTCCTCACATTTCATTATGTTGGTGTGTGTGTGTGTCTTTGTGATTTTTTTCCTGTTTGTTTATTGTTTATCTCAGTTTCATGCAAAGTCATTTATCAAACACATAGCAATGTTTCTATCCTATTCGCGATAGTTATTTATAATTGTAAATATATATATTTTCTAGCCAAAAGGATAAAATATTTTATTGATTTTTTTTTTTTGTGTGGGTGATATACAACTGGTACACTCAACTTGGAGAGTGTTATTGTCACAATTTTGAACAGATGGGGGAAAAAACTGCTGTAACCTGCACAGTTTCGAGGTGCTTCCTCAACACCAGTGTCAGTATTATTTTTTGTAGTTTCATGTCTCATTTTTCGGTGTGATAACACACCTCAAATCTAAGGTATTGTCTCTAGCTGGTAATCATTACTATCAGTATATCATGCTGCAAAGCACTCCTGTAATAGTTTCCACCAGTATTGTCTAAACCAGACTCCAACAAATATGGTATTGCTTCTTTGCAGAGAACTTATTGAATCGTAAGCACAATTCTGGAAAACTGTTAATAAAATCAGATACATATGTGAACGTTGGTAATATTGGTGTTACAACACTAATGTGTACTAATTCAAACTTTGCAAAGTCCGACCGTAACTAAATATGTGATAAATGTATCATTCTGATGCAAGATGGCTGCCATTCCTTATTTAGCTGGGTTAACTAAACACTTGCACAAAATGTTTCCTCGCACACGTTGAAAGAAATTTGATCCTGCAGTCTTACCCGGTCCTCCTTTACTTCACATGTGGAACTGAAAAGCTTCTACATTAATGCAAATGCCGACGAGATGGAAAAACTGTTCTAATCGTGTCAAGAAATCTCTGCAATGGTTGGATACTGATGACATATTTATTTGAATGAAGTTTGGGGCTTTTGTTGACTTGCAAGCTTTACAGCAGGGCCACTTTAGGGGTTTTCTGGTTCAATGGTAAACATCCTCAAATGAGGTAACACCAACCTCCACAACACAGACTCACACACTTTGAAATCTACAACAACTGTAAGCGTCACAGCATGCAATGGCTTTGAATGTTGTGAGGAGTTCGAAATAAGTTAATCCCACAGAATCCTCCTTTAATTTCACTCGCAAACCGTGTGTAAACCTCCTAATATTGTTATTGTTTAGTGAACAGTGAATCGTGAACTGACTCCCTTGAGGGTAAACAGCCCAGTGAGACGACACCTTGGTTCTGTACAGTGACGAAATCTGGAAACGCACGGTGCCTTCCATCACTGAAGCAATGGAACAAATCATCACAGACAAGTACACAGAAAACAACGTTCATCACTTGCATGAGGAGACATAGACTCGGCCTTAGAGGCGCAGAATAAATAGGATATTATATGTAGTCGGGGACTTGTCTGCCTTGAGAGCGCTTCACTCGAACAGCATGTCTTCATCCGTCTCCTCCGTCAGCATGTTGGTGGGCTCTGCGATGGGACCCAGTTTAGCCAGGCGGGCGGCAATCTCTAATTCTGTCCTTTCCCTGAGCTGCTTCTTCTTCTCTTGGATTTTCTTCAACCTGTCAAGAGGAGAAATTTTCAGTGTTATAACAAAAATTGGTTAGAAAGAATAAGTTGTTTAAATTTTAAAAAAAAAAGGTAAAAAAAGATTTATTGGACTGCTATAAAAGGTTTTCACCTGTAGAACTCCTCTCGTTCTCTCTCATCCAGTTCTGTGATGATGTAGGTGAGGGTGCGCTCGATCCGGGGAATAATCACTGCAAAGTGGGATGAAGATGAGCTTTAACTGAACTGTCCTTAATTCTTTGAGAAAAAAGGCAACAGATGCATGTTAAGTGTGAATTTACCGTGCTCAATGGCGTTCACACGGCGGTTGGTAATCTTTATGGCTTCATCCAGAGTGACAAAAGATGTCTACAGACAGAAAGTGGGAAACGTGTCGGAAGATCTCAATCACACTAAAAGGTACATAAATTGCAGGTCCCTTTAAACAGTATAATAATGTGGCACTCTGAAAGGGTAACATACTATCATTATTATTGATGCATTTCATTTTTGTTGGTTGAGGTGATGGTCATTCTAATAACATTATGCTGTTTGTAAATTTAATCTTCATTCCACCAGTCCATTTCACCTGAGAAGTAATAAACTAAGCTGAATTAACAGCTTGGTTTATTAACAGCGCCCCCTACCTGTAAGGAGGCCAACTCTACCAGCAGCTCAACAGCTCTGGCATAGTTCCTCTTCAACCTGGAGAGCTGCTCTCCTCCTCTGGCCAGACCAGTCAGCTCGTAACCTGAAACACACTGGGAGGGTGAGAACGCTCTCATTTACTCGTCACAAAAACTAATTTTATCCAAACATGACTTACTGTCGCCGCCTTCTTGGTAGTGCTCAAAAACTGGAAGGGTGACACCTAAAAGAAAGAAAAACATGTAACGTGTATGTAAAATGAATCATATAAAAACTTGTTTTACCAACAGACAAGATTAAAAAGAGGATATGTTTGGACAAACCTGCCACATTGTCTTTCTTGGCACGGACTTTCACTTGGGCTTTGTTGACATTCTGGATAATAGTTGCGCTGTGGACAGAATTACAGATTTGAGTTACCTTAACTAAACGCCACATCACATGATAGTCCTGCGATTTTTTTACCTGAAGTCTCCAGCTGCAAATTTGGCTTCAGCCAAAGAGAAGGCCGCCTCTCTCATCACCTCTCCCATCTTAGTCTTTGTCTGGGGGAAAGAGATAAGAAGTCCTTGTTCAGAGAAACTATTAAGGGCACTTAAAGAAACGGATGCAAGGAGAACAAAGTCGGTTATCAATCACTCAACCTACTTCGATGATTTTGCGGAGGATCTGACGGAAGCGCATGCAGAGGGCATCAGACTTCTTTTTGAGCAGGTTGCGGCCGGTCTGCGCCCCTTTGAGCCGAGCCTTCATGATGGTCTGAACCCTGCAAGCCAAAACAAAAACACAAACATTTAGAATGCTGTATTTGAATCTCCCCAATTACACTGCAAGTATACAGGATTTAAATAGTACACAGGGGTTATGTACATGCTTTGACACGCATGGGTAAATAAAACACTGCCCTGTTATTTTAGCTGTCTGGCTATTTTTTGGTGTTTTATTTTATAACCCACTAGCATGCAGGATCCCTAGTCTGCATCAGTGGTCCTGATTAACCCCCTCAGACAAACAGGAACCTCTGCTGATCAGTAGGTCACACAATGTTATAGTCAAGACTTATACTGTCTGTGGGTCAGTAGATTCAGACACCATCTCAGACTGACAGCTCACACTGGGATGATGTTAGAAACATCACATGACACACACACACACTCTTCCTCTTTTAAACAGTAACCTGGCGCGAGTGAGATTCATTTAACTTCGCAGAAGATATGCAGAGTTCATCTCAGAGACTGTGACGCAACAAATCAGAATAATAATATCTGGCTATGAGGCTACAGTGGGTTAGCAACTAGCTAGCAAACAAGCTGCTTACATTCTGGAGGGGAATACGTCGAGCCGTTCTTTTCCAGACATCTTCTCGTCCTTTGGTCGATGATGGCGGACTTCTGTTGACTGACCTTTCCGAAAATAAACACTAAAACGTCAGCTTTTATTCTATTGTATTAAACTATACACATAACCCAGGAAAGTCGTTGTTTTTCGTGCAGGATTAGAAGCCTTGGTCGTGATCTTGTCCTACTGCTCTCTCTCTCTCTCTCTCTCTCTCTCTCTTTCCGTGGTGATCAGCTGGCCTCGGATCATATGACTGAACCGAGCGCGTTCTGCGCATGCGCGTGTTGATAAGCCCTGACGATCTTTTCCGGGTCGAGAAAATTAGCAACACCCATGAATGTGAGCTAGCGGGCCCGAATCGTTCATCTAAAAAAAAACGGAGGAAATATAATCGGACATTTAACACGTACAGTACAGAGCATTCACGTGTATCGTTGTGTAACCGTATGACACAGGTGAGGTTTTCTTTTATTAAGATGAGTTTTTACCGGGGTGTCGCGAGCACACTGAGCTGCTAGCTGGCTAGCTAACGGCTAGCCTCGACAGCAGTACATGTGCCGCATGTGAGTTGTGAACCGGGTTGTTAGCTGTGAAGCTAACGGGTGTTAAAGTAACTGTAACTTGAATTCTCGTGTTCTGGTATTTAACTCCGTGATTGTTACTAGTTACAGTCGCTGTTAATTGGCAGCGGTCATTTTAAAATGGGTTATGTTATTTGTGGTAATGTTAGCTAACTAAAGGGCTTCTCGTTGGTCTTTATTGCATCATCCCATTCATAGACGAAAAATGTGTAATATAAGTGCCCGTTCATACTGCTGCCAGTTCATTTAACACCGCTTCATCTCCGTGTAGTTATGTTGGGATTATTTCTCAGTCTTAATTCAGTGATAGTAGTGAAAAAAACACCCAGAAACCAAATTAATACTTTGCCATTTAAATGGCTTCGACTCTTCAGTACATATTCGTCTTTGTATTATTTTGTCTACGTTACCCAAGTGAAGTTATATCATTGAGAGTAAATGAGACTAAATGTTGAAAACACCATCAGCATAGAGCGATCAAGTTAAAGCATCCCTAAAATGACCATAAATATGAATCAACGCCTCTCTTAAACAATTTCCACAAAATATGTACTTTATAGCCTTCGTGGAGCTGTTTAGAGTGCATTATTAATGTTAGAAATGATTTAACCTAACCTTGATCTGCGTTGATGATGTAGCAGTGGATTCAAGACCTTTGACATCCAGTTAATGCCTTCAGGCTCCAGGTTTTTTGATGTGTTGTTGTTGATGCATTATTTGCTTTCTATGGCCTCAGTGGTTTCCAACCTTTTGTGCCTTGTTGTGGCCCCTTTAGAATATCTACCCCATCACAGGTAATGGCCCTCATCATTAAAATATATTTATAGTTGTGCTCAGTGATTCAGCATTGCTCCTATATGTCATTGGGTCCAACATCCTGTCAAAGCCGAAGCAGCAGGAGATATCCTGACTTTCAGTTTCTAGTTGAGGTCTGAAATTCCTTTAATTCAACATGATTGGAGTTTTTGTTCCTCCTGCCTGGTAAATACCCACATACTCAGTTTGTAACAGATGCTTTCTGTTAAAAAAAAATAAGAAACCTCCCTCTAATAAACTACTGTTTTTACAGGCTGAATTATATGTTTCAGGATATCTAAAATTGGTTATAATGTGCGGTCACAAACGTCGGCTTCAAATGTCTCTCCTTTTTGTTTCTGTTCTCTCAGCGATGCCGGGGCTCAGCTGTCGATTTTACCAGCACCGGTTCCCAGAGGTGGAGGATGTTGTGATGGTGAACGTGAGGTCCATTGCCGAGATGGGCGCATACGTCAGCCTCTTGGAATACAACAGCATCGAGGGCATGATCCTCCTGAGCGAGCTGTCGCGTCGACGTATTCGCTCCATCAACAAGCTCATCCGCATAGGCCGCAATGAGTGCGTGGTCGTCATCCGAGTAGACAAAGAGAAGGGTGAGTTCAGGGAGGGTATTGACTACTGTTTAGTGTTGGATATAGGCCCCCGTGTAGGGCTTGGCTGCCAGCGCCAAAAGTGTCAGGTAAATTGACCAATGATGGTAATGTACCTACCACAGCCGTAACTTCAATTTATATACTGACGAGAGAAACCGGAAGACGAGATGCCAACTGTTCCCTCTGTTCTGCAAAACTCTTCTTTACCTTCGACCACTAGAGTAGTACTTTTGTTGCAATTTGTTTTTTAACTGAGTCAGGCGTGGTGCTCACTCCAAAGAACACGCACCGGGGCTACGTTACATCACTTCCAGCAAACTTCACAGAGAACAATGAGGGCGAAACAACATCACCGATCTGTTTTTAACCGATTATTGTCTCGTCTAGCTCAGCTAAAAACAGCAGAACACCGTATTCGTCAGCACGTTGGCATGCCGTTCACTACCGAGCCGGTTTGTAACCGGTACTGACAGCGTTATCGTGTTTGTGTGGAGAGGCTAAGCCTAGCTCCCGGTGTATGTTTTCATGTATTGTGCATATTTATATTCTGTGTGGAATAAATACAAGCTGTGAAAACAAATCTCCTTCCGGGACAATAAGGATTATTTGTCTAAATGTTGTTTTGAGATGAATTAATCTTATCGACTGCAAAACAATATAAGTATATGATTTGTAATAATAGAGCAGCCCGAGAACAGCAGGCGACTTGTGAAGCCTAAACCATAAAGTTTTAGTGAAAGATGAGTAATGGATGAGTTAAATCAGTTAACCTTATCCACGCTGCTCTAAACTTCTCCTTCTGGACTCTATTCTGAGGTTTGTGCTGATTGGCGATCAGATTGTATATCAACGTTTGAAGGGATAATGGACTATTGTTATTTCCTACTCCAATGTGAAGGCGTTTGTAACTAACTTACTTTCAGAAATAAAAATATTCTCTGTCTAGAATATGCTGCCTGCTTCACGTCCGCCTGCTGAGGCCCGTTAATCAGCAGTGAATTTTAAATCCTTAAATACGAACCAGTTTGCGTCTCTTTTCCATGGATCTGATACCACGCATCTCCTTTCTCCATGTGGCTGCTCAACAAAACATGTGAAGCTTCTATTTAGGTTCAAATGAAGCTCCAAATGTCTGTCATTTTATTCCGTTACTCCCTTTTTTTTTTTATGCGTCGAGCAGGAGATTTTGTGATTTGTGACAGTCGCGAAAAGTTACCATGATGCATCTCTTCTCTGCTTTGTCTTTAGGATACATTGATTTATCAAAAAGAAGAGTTTCACCAGAGGAGGCCATCAAGTGTGAAGATAAATTCACCAAATCCAAAACTGTAAGTCAAAGTTAGCCTCAGGGTTGTACCTTTTTTTTTTTTTTAATTAATTACTGAGACGATTGCCAACATCATTTGTGTTCAGCTTTGTCAAAAAGTGAACTGTACATACATGACAACGTTAAAGACGACAGTAAAGTTTTTCTTTTCGTTGATCTCTGATGAACTTTCTGATGTTGTTCGCAGGTGTACAGCATCCTGCGACACGTTGCAGAGGTGCTGGAATACAGTAAGGACGAGCAGCTAGAGAGCTTGTACGAGCGCACCGCCTGGGTGTTCGATGAGAAATACAAGAGGCCAGGATACGGAGCGTACGATGTCTTCAAACAGGCTGTATCGTAAGTGGTTGTTCCAAGCACGTTGGTGTGAGGCTACTAGCCACTAAACATGTCGTGCCCGCATGCCAGCGATACTTAATCTGACGAGGTCAAATCAAATTGTGTTCATCTTGCCTGCACTAGAGATCCGGCCATTCTGGACGGGCTGGACTTAAATGAGGAGGAGAGGAATGTGCTCATTGATAACATCAACAGGCGACTCACTCCACAGGCTGTCAAAATCAGAGCAGGTAACAATATGAGGTTTTCACAGTACGATATCCTTCTCAGAAAAATAACAGTTTAACTATTATCATTATTATTATCATCATCATCAATAACAATAACCTTTTTAAAGTGACAAGAACAGCATTATAATAATAAAGGTGTCTTAAGGTGCATATTCGTGTCGCGTTTGGTGAGAACATGGCTTTATATACTGATTTTAAAAATGATAATTAACTGTACTGTAGCATGTTAAGCTGTGAGATTTTTAACAATTTACATATACTGAAGGAGCACAAAAGCCCAGATAGAGTCCTCCTGTCTGTACTTTGAACTCTCACACACTCATGTCACTTTTTTATATCATAGATAAGCAAATGTACTCCGTATGATAGCAGTCCATTTTTGTACCGTTGCATACTGCGATACCGATATGCCGCTACAGCCACCCGGGCAACAATACGCTCTCATATACTGAAGTTTGTTCCAGCTGTATCATGATGCTCAGTTCCACTTAGAAAAGGAAGTAACATGGTGAATGTGTGACCTAGAACCACACCGTGTGTTCATCTTTATTGTTCTCCCGCCTGCAGACATTGAAGTGGCGTGTTACGGCTATGAGGGCATCGATGCCGTGAAGGCAGCTCTGAGGGCCGGGCTTGGCTGCTCCACAGAGACCATGCCCATCAAGGTATTGTCACCGCTTCAACCGCTCTCAGCTCAACATATTTGTACACTGCTGAATGGTGAAACTTTGACTGTGCAAATGCCATGTGGCGCAGCGTTAATTAGACTAACATGATCTTCTTCTTCTTCTTCTTGGCAGATCAACCTGATCGCTCCCCCTCGCTACGTGATGACAACGACCACTCTGGAGCGCACAGAGGGCCTGTCTGTCCTCAACCAGGCCATGGCTGCTATCAAGGAGAAGATTGAGGAGAAGAGAGGCGTCTTTAACATCCAGATGGAGGTGAGTGACTTCACTTACTCTGTGCCAAAGCCATCCCGTGTCCTTTGTGTATTTCTTTTGTTATAATCGGTTTAACGTTTTCTAAAATGTTAATAAAGTTTGTAGTTGGGCTCGGGTGTCCAGTGAGCAATGCTTGTCCTGTACTCAAGTAACGTACTTGGGTACTCATTTGAGGTATTTGTATTTTACTCGTGTATTCATTTTATGCTATTTTATACTTCGACTCCACTACATCTCAGAGGCAAATATATTACTAATTACTTTACAGAAAACAGTTTTTTATACCTTTCTTGTCCAATGAAAAATGTCTTCAAATTTGATGATTTTGTATTTTTAAACTTTTGGTAATTTAATAACTGAGTATTAGTACTGCTGTTTCAAAATAATATTTCTGAATATAAAATTAATTTCTTTCACGCAATATTAGAACTTCATTCTCATGTTGTTTCCTTTTACTTGTAAAATTATCAAATGTTGGCTTTTTCTCATAAATTACAACTTTATTACTTTTCCTCGGAATGTTACTTTACCTCTCAATCTCAGATTCAAATCATCCCCCCCCCCCCATCAAGAGTAGCCAAACACTACCACAAAAATTCAACAACTACTTTTTCTTATTGTTTTTCAGCCCAAGGTGGTGACGGACACGGATGAGACGGAGCTCGCCCGGCAGCTGGAGAGGCTAGAGCGAGAGAACGCAGAGGTGGACGGAGACGACGACGCAGAGGAGATGGAGGTCAAGGCGGAGGACTAGAGGCCATCGTGGCATGAAGGCTGTTGGTGAACAAAACTTCAAAGGGGAAATGTGGACAGACCTGGCCACAGTCACAACAGATGTTAACTTTCACATTGCAAACATTAACTGGCGTTAATAGTTCATTGGCAAACGTCCCGGTTTGTTATTTCGGAAGATGGTAACACAAAAAGCTGTCTTCCTATGCAGATATTGAAGGAAAGTTAAATTACAAATTAAACAACAATATAGTTTCTTTTTTTTTAATGACATCGATTTGAATAAATAACAAAAGCTGTTTCCGAGCAGTGGCCTTTACTTCGCTCTTGCTTAAGAGCCCAGTGTCTTCAGTATCCATGGCTCTTCATCTCTGGATGTGATTGATTTAAAGGCTCGTCAGTATCAACACCGGTCAATCGTGACATTATGTGCTTTTTTTTCTTCCAGTTAGAGGGTTTTTACTGGCAAGACCTGCTCTTGTTTAGCTCACATGGCATCAATAAAGTTCTGGAAGTTTTGATCTTAATGCGTCTTTGTCAGCTGCTGTGAGACGATTGAATGAATTGGCACCCGGCCTTACTTTTAGTTTAAGGATTGTGTTCCTTTTGTAATTAACATGCATTTCAGCACTAACCAATAAGGTGATTGTGACTGGCTATCCCTCTCGAAGTCTTTGTTGGGTAAATTTAAAGGACAAACCAAAGAATATAATTAAACTAATGTTTTCTGTTATGCAACAAACATGTAAAAGTTGACAGGAAGCAGGCTGAAATTTGAAGTTGAGAGAACCTAAAATGTTAATATATACGAAGTCAAGTGAATAAAGCCTACTTTTAGCATGTCGAAAAAAGTCATAGTATAAAAAGTAATAGTATTAAAATATATAAAATGGTATGTCCCATCATCCCACCAAGACTAACAAACTCAAACTACAGAGCAGTGATTTGTGAAATAAACTCATGTGGGTAGTGAGACGGTTACACAAAGTTATAAAAAATCAATTTTATTCAAATGTTCACAATACAAAAACAAATGGAGAGCATCTTCACATCATTTTTCCCCGTTCTTAAGTCATTTTTCAATAGTGGTGTGTGTGTGTGCTTTTACAGCTGCAGGGGTGTCTCCATCCAATATATATTCTGTGGGTCTCGTCAGTGGACGCATGTCAAATGATAACTAGGAGCTTTTTGAAGCGGTCTACTTAACAAATCAATCAGGAATGTGATGAGAGGGAAATGAAGCGGATTAAATCTGAATCAATGAACTCTTCAATTGGAGTTGTGTCCAAAACCCTAAATAAATAATCTTGTAAAAAAGATCACATCCTTGTAGTTATGCAAACTCTAAAGTCTCATTTAAAAAGAAAAAAAACACACCGTAGAGACCGATTGCTCGTAACAATCCTACAGATGACTCTTCCCAAAAAGTGTGTTGACATGGATACAAATAAAATGTTAGGACCAAGACACCTCAACTGGCAACGCAACAATGGTCCTGGGCCACAGTCGGCAGTTTTGTTGAGAATTATCCATCAGTCAAATAATTACGTACTGTATTTACACGAAAGCACACCGACACAGTCAGCACCTGCAAACAGAGAGCGGGGGGGAAATAAACCTGAACAACTGGTGCAGATGTGAGAATGAGCAGAATCTGCAGTTACAGTTGGTGCTAGTATGGACACGTCGCTTTTTGGGGGGGGGGGGGGTGAGACGAATTGCGCTACACTATTTTACACAATGTATGAAAAGAAAACTGTTGATCTTCATTCAGTGGTTTCGCTTATTTCGCCAGACCGATCTTCTTCGCTTCGGTTTCATAGATGAGCAACCTCCACATCTTCACTATGAAGACTTCAGCTTCTTCATCAAGAACCTGAAGAGGACAAGAGGAAACACATGAAGAAGAAGACAGGAGGGGACCTTTGTTACAGCGCTCTTTCCCTCATTCAGTCATCTCTTCACTTTCTAATTAAAGCACCAAAATGCCCAAAAATAAAAACAAGTAATACAATAGTAAATATCACGATAATGGATTTTTAATTTTGAAAGATTGATTTAAGACATTTAATGCTAATTTAAGGCCTTTTTTTTAGTATGAATGAATTCAATGCCAAATATGTTTTTTAAGGATCAGTGGTAACTGTGTGTGTGTGTGAGAGAGAGAGAGAGAGAGGCTTAATCATCCGTTACATTACTCACCATGGCAACATCATCCAGGATACTCTGTGGCATGCTGTGAGCCATCACCTGGGAAAAACAAAACATCAGGATCGTATCACGCTTCACTTCCTCTCAAAGTGTGAATAACGTCACCGGCACACAGACATCACATGATCAATACCTTGGAGCAGACGAAGTCCACCAACGTGGCCTCTTCCTCTCCGATGTACTCAATGATCTTCTTATTGATCCAGGGCCGAACGCGCCGCTCCATTAACGTCTAAACGGGCCAAGAGATGAAGGTGTTAACGTCTAGTTAAAACACAAAGTTCAATGAAATACTCCATATGTTTCTTCTCTCCTCACCGTGTCGACCATAGACCAGTCCAGCGGGTATAAGAACAGCTCGGGCTTTGCTGTGGGGATTTTCTCTATCAGGGTCTTGATGTGTTTACGTTTCTCCTCCGTGTCGTCCCCCTTTATACTGGAGAGCCCGGCCCCGTCCACCCCGAGGCTCTTGTCGTCGTCGTAGTCCAGGGGCACCAGCTTCCGCTTGCGAGGCTGCTCGTCGGTCTCTTCGTCGTCGAACTTGTCGAAGACGCTGTCCACGGGCAACTTCTTCCTCTTGCCCACGCTGGGTTGACTGGGGCTTCCTGAGGCACCTGGAGAGCACGAGGAGCTTCATGAATACAGTTTACTGCGACTAAAATTTGCAGCGACTTATGTGTGGAATGAGAACACAACTGTGGTGTGAGGTTGTGAAAATGATGGATAAGGATGTTTGCAAGCTGTGCATTCTGGTCTGAATCTAGAGGATTTCTAAATTTTATGTTGTTGAACATTGTAACAAAATCTAGCTATTTTTCTTTGACCTACACAATACAGTTAATACATTTATAAACACAATTGCTACGTGTGTTTTCTATTGCCTAACTTTAGCTCTCTCTGTGAGCGCTCCATGTCACAGTGAGGACACACTTCTTTTAGACTTACCCAGTTTGAGACTGAGGCCAATCTTTGGCCGGTTTTCCTCCTGTGGCAGGGCCTCGGGGGGGGAGTTCTCGTGGGGGATGATGATGCCGCAGGGCGACTCGTCCCCGGGTGTGTTGGGGGACGCGTCGCCGCTGGCCGACGACACCGATGGCGCTGCTGTGATTGGCCGCATTGTGGGCTTCAAGCAGGGTTTTGTGTCTGGGTTGTCTTCATCGTTGTCATAATCGTCTTCTTGCCCCTCCTCGATCTCGTTGTCCGAGTGGGCGGGCCGTGGTCGAGGTTCTGGTCTTTCCGGTTCCTGTCTCCGGTCTCGGTGGTCTTTTGAACCCCTGTGGCGTTCCCGTTCCTCCTCGATCTCCGGCTCTTGGACGATAGGAGGTTGTCTCAGACGCTCCTCCTCTTCCTCCTTCATCTGGACCAATAAGAGGCAGATAGGCAGAAGATTAACACCCAATCGGTGTTTTAGAGAAAAGAAGGTCAACATGCAACGAAAGCTGGACACCCCAGATGTGCAGAGAGACTCCGATGATAAAGTGACCTTCACAAAGACAACAGACAGCATGCGGACTCACTACAGATTTACAGACAAACACACACACACACACACACACACACACACACACACACACACACATCATTATTAAGGACAAGCATACCCTGCGTAGCTCTGCGTCTGGGTTTGGATGTCCCTCGTCTAACAGCCTCTGTCTGATCTCCTCCAGCTCCTCCTTCTCCCGCTTCCTGTCACGCTCGTCTGCCTCCATCTCCTTCTCTCGGTCTCTGAGACGCTTCTGCAGCGCACTGCCCCTAGGGGTCACATCCGGAATAACAGTCTTCAGAACAACAGCCATAGCTGCAGTATTGCATCTGCAACTACAAGTCAGTTTGCATGTTGCTCACCTGTAGTACTTGGGGTCATCTCGGTCATCATCGTAGTCTTCAAGAAACTCTTTCAACCGTTTGCCCTCTTTCACCTAAAGGAACACAGGACCGCACTATTTCTCAAGGAGAATACATATTTCTCCTCACAACTTCTATTAGATATTATTTATCTTGTAACCTGAAATCATATCAACACAAAAAACAAATGAAAGGGTCCATCTTGGCAACACAAAGACATATATATATATTTTTTAAATGCCATCTAGCAGACAAGACACTAATAACCTATAGAATCATGACAGCCACGACAAAGTAGTCGTAACTTAATGTTGTAACTTTATTCTGAAATGGAATTAACAGTGATTAATGAGATTTGCGAGGTTTAAAAGGTAAACAGGTAACATTCTGGCGTAAATTACATTCAAAGTAAACTCGGACGCCTCTCTGAACCTCCACTGCTCGTTCAACGTGCTCTCACCATTTCCCGTCTGCGCTCATCTTCCCGCTCGGCCTCTTTGGTGTAATCCCGGGCCTTCTTCCTCTCCCGTAGCTCCCAGTTTTTTAGACGCTGTCATCACAACAGTATCAGGTAAGCCACGACCATGTTCAGTCACATCAAGCAAAAAGAGCAATTCACACTTTGTTCTTTGAATGTATTTGCCCCCGTGATAAAGAGACCTTTAAAAAAGGTGATGCCTAAATATTTCAGGGTTGTCTCATTTGGACATAATAAATAAGCATTTAATATACATTTAAATTTATTATCTTGGGTATACATGGACATTTAGAAACTTAGGATCTAGGAGCAGTGATTTCTGACCCAGGTCAACCTTCCCTACCTCCTGATAGGCTGCTTCCTTGTCTCGGAGTTTCCTTTCCAGCTTCCTGCGTTCGTACGCTTCCTCTTCATCTTCTTGGTCTCGTTTCTTGTCTCTGTCTCGGTCTCGACTGACCTCCCTTCAAAAACAGAAAAAAGGTTAATAAGAACATATTTAACTCGAATCTTGAATCGGAACCAATACACATAAGTGTTGAGTTTAAGTTAGAGAAGAGACGGGAAGATGTCAATCAAGCATGGTCTCTATACATGGTCCTGAGAAGAGGTTAAATCCATCGGTGTGAAAACACCTGTGTGACTGTGTAGCGTCTAAGAGCAGCTGTGCAAAGGTTTTACTGAACCCACAAGTGCTGAGCTTCTGGCTTGCCGTAAAATTGGTATTGTACAGATGTAATTAACAATGGTTGGTGACTATTTATTGTTTTCTGTTAATCAGCTGATCTTCCAGTCTTTTTCACCTGGATCGGCTGCGTTCGGGGCTCCTGTCCCGGCTTCGGTCCGGCTCCCTGTCCCGGCTTCGGTCCGGCTCCCTGTCCCGGCTTCGGTCCGGCTCCCTGTCCCAGTCTCTTTCTCTGGGCCTGCGGTCGCGATCTTTGTCTTTGTCTTTGTCTTTGTCTCTTTCCCGCTCCCTTTCCTTCTCTCGCTCCTTCTCCCTCTCGCGGTCCCGCCGCTCCCTCTCCCGCTCTCGCTCTTTTTCCCGATCCCTCCGGTCCCGCTCAAACTCCAGCCGCTCCTTCTCCCGCTTGTCCTTCTCTTCTTCTAGTTTCTGCAGAGCAAAACACATACAGGTTCACCCGATGCCACACAAGATCCGGTGAGTCTTTGCTCTCAATTTCCCTACTGTGCACAAATCAAGTGGTTTCCAGATTTTGAAAGGCTTCATACAGGAACATGCCCTATACTACAAATCAGTGCAAAGCGTGTAAGAGAATCTGAACGGATCAAAGGCTCTGCTGCTTCAAACTACCGTTTATCAAGAATTTAACTGGAAACCACTTCAACGGTCAAAACGATCAGTGGGACGCGTTCATAACGAGAAAAAGCAGCAGCAAAAGACGATGCTTTTTCTCTCCTTAGGAGTCGTCCTCTCAGAACAAGGGAAACAAAAACAGAAAACAGGCGCCGGTCGTTCGGTGAACTAGTTGTTTGTGACTTACAGGTGTTGAACTATGGATTCGGCCGTTCGCTGCCCCTACAAGCCTTTTAAGTTAGGCCTGGGAGGAAAGCAGGTCACACGGTATACAAGGGAAAAACATTATGGGATTCTGTCTTGCTCAAGCATCATCATCAGAACTAACAGCCTTTACTTCAAGAAAAGGGTAACATGGTAATCAAGAAATGAACAGCAGTTATTTCTGTACAGATAAATGAATATTGTAGAAGCGGTCTTACCCCTGCAGAAGTCTTCAGCAGCTCCTCACAACTCACTTCAAACAAACACAGACATACACGCATCCCAAATCTGCCTTTCTGGGCATTACACACAAGGCTTTGAGGGTAATTTGTGTATAAAAGTAAAAGAAATCTAATGCAGAATGAGAGTATTTAATACAAAAGAAACAAAATGCTAAGCTTGGAGGATTTCCATTACTTTTAGGGCACTAATTCCACAGTTCTACAAAGTAAAGTACGGACAGTGCAACAGTAAGAATGAACTCAAATTGCTTGACTGCATCACAGTCGTACACAGCCAGTCAGCTGGTCTTCTGCAAGAAACACAGACTCATCTAGAAGCCTCGGGTGTAATGCATCTCAAGAGAAGGAATTGTACGACACGAGAAAGAAGATGGGAGACCGTAGCAATCTATTCAGAACTTTATTATCAAGTATTGTTACTTATGTGCCTCGACTCAAGCACAAAGCATGTCAGATGTTTTACTTACCTCTGTCGAGTGTTTACCGGGGCTGGCTTAATAAATGGAGTCTAGCAGACAGTGCAATCTTATTCTTTGTTGTCTGTCGTGGTTTTAAAGCAGCTGTTTTTGCAGAATGTATTGTAATTCTTAAAAGCGATAAATTGGAAAAGGAAAAAAGAAAAAGACATTTTTATGTTTTTGGTTTAATCTTCTAAACCTGGTTGCAGGAGTGTTTTTTTTGGGGGGTAAAATGTCAGCTTTTTTTCTTAGATAACAGAAAGCATGGACTGTTTACAGTACATCCTGTACAGTTATCAAATATCAACATGAACTCACTGATCTATCTTAAAAGAAGAAGGAAAAATAAGGCAGAGTGAGTCAGACGAAGAGCAAGAGATGGGGGAGAGAAGTCACGCACACATTCAGAGAGCACATACCTCGTCAGTCTTCAGATCAGTGTGCTGCTGTGGAGAGGGCGCCCCCCCCACACTAGCATAATAAAAGCTACAGCCAAAGTCACTGCAGTGGTTATTGACACGAGTCCTTGTGCTTCAACATGAACACCATTAAGACAAACCATGGTTTACAGAGGACTCGCACAGGTTCACCGACTCAAGCTTCCGGGGCACCACCGGTGATGTGACAAAAAGGTGCGGGGGGAACTTTTTGTATCGTCAAATGTTTGGCTGAATACAGATCGTCGTGAGGCCTGACCGACACACAGACAAGTGCAGTTCAGTTGCCCCTATGCAAGTCCTCAAGAGGGGGGACGCCCAATATAAGTATATAGTAAATAAAGGCTGATACTTACATCCTATCCTCGCAACTTTTTCCAAAGCTCTGAGATTCATCTTGCTTTAGTCACCATATGATCACTATCATAATGGTGGGGTTTAATGAATAGATTAGCTTTTTAAGTAACTTTACATCGTCTCCATGCATTTTTGTGTGATGAATGAAGAATGGATCTAGAATAGTCACACCGATAGTTTCACTACGCTGGTCACAGGTGTCAAATCTGCCTACTTGTGCTGTCTGAACATTTAACATGAAACATTTCATATAATATGGGGCAAATTAAGGTGTTTGGTGGTGGAAATTTTAATGCCAATTTGTAGCGTAGTATGCATGTTACTGAGATCAAAAAAAAAGCTTTGTAAATGTGTCGACTAAATGTGCAAGCTGTAGGAGTGAACTATGTGAGCAGCTGCTGTCCAAAACCTGTAATGTCAACTACAAGATCAAAGGAGCCACTTTACCTTGTGGGTGTCTCGAAATTTACTAATTTCTCTGGAGATCAGGTCTCTCTTGTCGTCCTCCATATCAATAGTGTTAATGTCGTCCTAAAGAAGAGAAAAGATAAAAAATACATTAATACTTTTACATTTTTAAGTTCCAAAAGAAGAAGAGTACAAGTCAGACAAACGTTGGTATACCTCTTCTTTTTTCTCCCGTTTCCTCTTCCGTCTCTGGGAGTCCTCGTCCTGTGAAGGCGCGTTGAGTTCTGCAGCATATTCCCTCATCAGCCCATCGATGGCACCTTTAATAATCTGATCCTTCTTTTTTGTCTCCTCGTCTAGAACCTCATCATCATCATCATCTCCATCTTCAGGCTTCTTATTCTGCCGGTACAATAAAAAAATAAATAAAACATCCCAGATCAGTTTTAACCATTAATTAATTGGAATCTCATAACAAGAACAGAATTATACCCCATTCGCAGTATTTTTCTTGGCCTTCCACTCATCCAGCTGAGCTTTAGTCTTGGCATCCACCTTCACCAACAGGCTTTTTTCTCCAATCACCAGGTCATGAAGCAGCCGCAGTGCTCGCAACGTGGACTCTGGCTCCTTGTACTCACAAAACCCAAAGGCTGCAACAGACATTGAAATAGACATGACAACAAATTCATCTATGGTCATGAATGGTTTGATGGGATGACAAATACAAAATATTGTTTCATTTCTGGTTGGATTGAGGTGAAATCATTTAGTGAATTTACGGATCACCCAAATTAGCCATAGATTAAAGTACACCTTGATGTAATGAGACTTGTATGTATTGGGAATTACCTTGAAGCTTGCCAGAGGCTCCTTGGACTCTTTTCCAGCTCAGAACAATTCCACATTTCTATAACATAAGCACAGCGGGATGAAGAGTTCACAACTCAGGTATAATTAAAAAGAAAAAGCCACAGCACATGATCCAGTTTCAGCAGGTTGCCCACACACAATGACTTATTTTTTATTTGACATACATATTTCATAACTGTGTGACCCGAGTACATGACATATTTGTAAATCCATTCCCGTTTCTTACCGCGAGCAGCTGTCTGATCAGCATGTCTGAAGCTTTCTCCGAGATGTTCCCCACAAACACTGTGGTAGTGGGGCCGCTGTTCTCGTTGTTCTCTTTGACTCTCAGTATTTCCTTTCTGTGGATCGGAGGCTTACTGATCACTTGCACAGAAGGCATCATTACTGATGTGGGGGTCATGATGCCGACGTGAAGCGGGATCATTTGAGTTCCTACGACAGACAAAGTAAATGAACATCAAGTTCAATCTCAGAGGCTGAAGGCTGCTAGTGTCCCTTCTAAAACTAGTACACTGCAGTAGACAAAGTGAAAGAGGCTACACATGTAGGGTGGCACACGTGGTTGCTTACCTGAGGGGAAGCCAGCAAACTGAGGGGGCATCCCAGGAGGAGGCAACAGCGCCCGGTTCATGTGAGGGGGGAAGGACATTCTGGGTGTGATTCGGACCAACCTGAAGGAACAGCGATGCCTATTAGCAGTCTACATATGTACACGATGTGTTAAAACTCACACTTGAATGAAGTCATCCAAACAATGTAAAGCCGAGATTAAAAACACGGTTCAAACATAACACGCGTGTTTTCTTCTTTTCGTTGGAGAAACCACTGAGATGTGTCGGTAACATTAGATGAGCATACAAACATCGATTTAGGACTTTTGATATCCAACTGTAGCACTACTTGAAGTAAGCTTTGCTCAGTAGAGCAACTTAACGTTCGCTAACTTAATATCATTAAACACCAACGTTTGTTTATTATGACTTGTTTTAAGCGCAACATGTTGCGTTTTTACTAAATAACTCAACCTTTATTTAAAGTTACCAAAACAAACAACAGTTAAACTGAAACTAGCATCAAGCACGCTACCGTACCCGGCACCACTAAGCTAAGCTAACATTAGGCAGAGCTGGTGTTACCTAACAAGTAAAACTCACTTTAGCGGGCTCAATATGTGTTCGGAATAAAATTGAACATGTCCATATATACATACCCAAAATTAGGTGGCGTAGGAAGGGATAAAAACAGCTTTCACAAGGTTATTAATTATGAAAATCTCTGTAACGTCCCGAATGTTGGATTAGCACGCTAGCTAGTCACGGGCCCTCAAAAACATTGACGCAAGCGCACTACGTACCAGACTGCAAGTGCACTTGTTTTGTACATCGGGACGTGGCAGCTGGACGGGGCTAGAAAATATTAGTATTACTGTGCATTATTAATTATAGTATTGTTATCGTTGTTGTTGTCATTATTGTTAGTAAGAATAATAGTGATGATAATAATAATAACAATATCTTAATATTGTAGTATGCTATTAATAAAACCAATTATTAAAATCCTAATAAAGGATTATTTTATTTTATTATAAAATAATACAATTGTAATACAATTGTATTATATTATTTTATTATTTCAAGCTTTCCGTTTCACTTTTCAACTTTAAAGACATTTTTAGGATCAGGTGAGGCATCAGGAGTTCCTAAATACCAAGTGTGTCATCTGAGTACAAGGATGCATATTACTTATTACTTATTGATCATAGGCCTGAGGCCTTCATTGACATAGTTTACCTTTAAAAATAGAATTTCACCTTCTTTATTAGCCTTGCTCGACGCTTTATAACATATAAAATATATTTTAATTAACGCAGGGATCATCACATCATCAGACCAGGTAGCGCTATTATGTATTTATGTGTATATTATCACTCCAAAGAACGTTAAAGCGGTTGGTTACTATGGTGTTTGTGTTGTCGGTATAGCTCGTGACAGCAGCTGGGCCGCGATGGGCTGCGTCTGACAAGCCGTGACGTCACTTTAGGCGGGTTTTTTTTTTCGTGGAAAGTGCTAGAAGAAACGAAGCACACCCTCTTGGTTTAAAATATTCCTCCATCAGATTGAAAAGACCCTCACTCTTTGCAATGAAATAAACGATGTACTCGTGATTTTCATTGAACATATGTATTAGGTTGGTGCAGGTATTTTTTGCCTTGATAGTATGTGGCGAAAGCGATAAAGACTAGTCGTCACTAAAATGTTGGTCTATACAGTATCCATCTAGTTCTGTCATTTTGGCATAAACCGCCACAAGGTGGCAGTAATGTTGCGCTAGGCACAGGAACTGACTTTCTTAGTTATATTGCAGTATTTTCAAAGATACAAGGCGTACCTTACATTACATTGTGTTTCAAGATTATACAATTTTCAGATTAAATCAATAATATCCACTCGCTCTGTATACATTCATGTCAATAGCTCCTTTGAATTATCATAATCAAACAGTCGGTTTTGTCTGTCTTCTACCCATAGAGTAGTTCTAGTGGTAGATGGTGCACCGCGGAGGGATACGGCCGCACACTGAAACGATTGAGTATAAAGATTCCGGTCTGTTTAAAGGAAGTTCCTTTCCATTTCCCTGCGTCAGAGAGCAGAAGGGACTACATATTGGTGGCATTTATTCAAGATAAGTCAACGGAATAAACAAGGTATGGACACGAGTAACTTGCTTACACATGGGACACATTGTGCTCTTTTTATTGCGTGTTTTTGCTAACCTATTACTCAACTATGGCTGCTTGTAAACCACGATGCGAGATCCTGAGTCACGACGGTAACCTTAGCTTGTTAACTGTCTCGTGGGCTAACGTTACAGCTAACAAATGAACGTTGACTGCTGTCCGTTCACATATTTCGTAATGTTTTATCGTAACTATGTAGACATTTCATGTACTGCTTGACGATTTAAGATGCCCATTATATAAATGCGGCTCCGTGCCGCACTGTTAGGCCGGACTTAGGTTGCACTAAGGCAGGTGTGGTGAAGATGACATCGCGGATTATTTAGCTAGAGATAACCGTAAGAACATACATCCGATACAGGACCAGATCATAGAACCGGGTCCTCATTTCACAGCCAAATATCGTCACCTCAACATTTTACCTAAAGTATTACGGTAATTTCTCGGGTTTGATATCGGTTTCAAACGTTTATCTGTTGACGTCCAGTTGACTAATTATTATAAAACTGATATGGGCTTTTAACATATGGCCTCATATTTATGTTGTAACTTAAAATGGCTCAAATTAGTCATTGTTGTGTATTTTTTACGGCTGATTAGATAAGGCCGCTTTATCGTAACCTCACGTTTATTGTCGTCCCCACGTGGCTTTTAACGTTAAACTTCGTGACGTTTTTTATTACAAGTGAACGTACGGCACCGCATTTCCTAATGTTATCCTTATTTTTGTCTGTAGCCGCCCCTCAACACGTGTTTGCGGAGTCCATTGTCTGTCACTCGACGCCATGTTGGTTAATGGCCGCTTCCACCGATTTGTAGCAACACTATGGCAGAGGTCCAATTTTCCCCAAACCGGCTTGTTGACATGATCCAATTATGATGATTATTCCTCTAATGGAGCCAAAAGAGTTGTCAATTTGAAGCAGAATGAATCTCGCACTTAAACATGGCCGTTTTAGCCTTTTTTTGCAAGTTTGTGGTTGGCTTCTACTGAGTTGTTGTGTTTTGATCATCCCCTTTTTCCAAATTGCCATTTGTACCATTTTAAACCAATGATTTGCTAAACATTACTCTATTTCCTTTCATGCAGATGCCTGAAGAAATGCACCAAGAGGAGGAGGCTGAGACCTTTGCCTTCCAGGCAGAGATCGCTCAGCTGATGTCCCTGATCATCAACACCTTCTACTCCAACAAAGAGATCTTCCTGAGGGAGTTGATCTCCAATGCCTCTGATGTAAGCCTGCCGGAGCTTGACGTTGTTTTTACATATTGATTTGGCTTTTAACTTTCAGATGCTTGTGTTTTGACAGGGTATTTCATTGTTAATGTAGAGGTATTGCTTTTTTTAAATTTATTTTTTATTGTGATGATGCTTGAAATGATATCTAAAGTATTGCTGTATTTTTGTCAATGTGTTTTTTCAGGCTTTGGATAAAATTCGCTATGAAAGCTTGACTGATCCAACCAAGATGGACAGTGGCAAGGATCTGAAAATTGAAATCATCCCCAACAAAGAAGAGCGCACCCTGACCCTCACCGACACTGGAATCGGCATGACCAAAGCCGACCTGATTAACAACCTGGGTACCATCGCCAAGTCTGGCACCAAGGCCTTCATGGAGGCCCTTCAGGTACGACTAGGAACATGATTTAGATGGCTGCATGTGGAAAATCGATCAAATATTGCATGACAAGAATACTCTGTAACCGTATATTTGGGCGGTGTTAAATGGCAACAATTTTGTTCCCTCTAGGCTGGAGCTGACATCTCCATGATTGGTCAGTTTGGTGTGGGTTTCTACTCTGCCTACCTGACTGCCGAGAGGGTGGTTGTCATCACCAAACACAATGATGATGAGCAGTACATCTGGGAGTCCTCTGCTGGAGGTTCTTTCACCGTCAAGGTCGACACCGGTACGTGTCCTGCTACAGTTGCAACATTTGACTATTTGCACCAACTATTTCTGATTATGCTGTTTACAAAGGGTTATGACATGCATGTAATGTACCCGACACATTGTTTGCATCATTCAGCTAGTTGTTGGACCCTATGCAAACTTATTTTATGTAAGATGTTCAATATCTTGGAATAGTTTGATTTTATTTGCCATTGCCTAGATCCTTAGGTTAAGGTTCAGCATTAAGTAATGTCAGAAGGTCTAGTTGCAGTGTGAATGCGCAGTACCACTTAGACATCTACTAGCTCCTGTCCTCATAGCTGTACTATCCTATTCACAGGCGCGTCCATTGGTCGTGGAACAAGGATCATCCTGCACTTGAAGGATGACCAGACAGAGTACATTGAGGAAAAGAGGATCAAGGAAATTGTCAAGAAGCACTCGCAGTTCATCGGCTACCCCATCACCCTGTTTGTAAGTATTGCTTTTTGACGTTTTGGCTAGTTAAAACGGTTTGCGTATCGGTTAAGTTGAACTCTTTTAATTCGCAGGTTGAGAAAGAGCGCGAAAAGGAGATCAGTGATGACGAGGCAGAGGAGGAAAAGCCAGAGAAGGAAGAGAAGGAGGAGAAAGAGGAGGGCGAGGACAAGCCAAAGATCGAGGATGTAGGATCAGACGATGAGGAAGACACCAAGGACAAAGACAAGAAGAAGAAGAAGATCAAGGAGAAGTACATCGACGAGGAGGAGCTGAACAAGACCAAGCCCATCTGGACCAGGAACCCCGACGACATCACAAACGAAGAGTATGGAGAGTTCTACAAGAGTCTGACCAACGACTGGGAGGATCACCTGGCTGTCAAGGTAAACTTTGCAATAAATAAAACTGCTGTTGAATGGTTCATATGCTGAAATAAAGTCAAACTAATCCGAGTTATTTTCTTCTTTGCAGCACTTCTCAGTGGAGGGCCAGCTGGAGTTCCGTGCCCTGCTCTTCGTTCCCCGCCGTGCACCTTTTGACCTCTTTGAGAACAAGAAAAAGAAGAATAACATCAAGCTGTACGTCAGGAGAGTTTTTATCATGGACAACTGTGAAGAGCTCATCCCAGAGTACCTGAGTAAGTTCTGTTCTACATTGCTGCATGTACCCCAATAAAGCAGTTTTGCTAAGATGGATAGAAAGATTGAATAGTTAAGATGGTTTCAATAAGCCATGTGTTGTGTTGCTCTCCAGACTTTGTTCGCGGTGTGGTCGACTCAGAGGACCTCCCCCTGAACATCTCCAGAGAAATGCTGCAGCAGAGCAAGATCCTCAAGGTCATTCGCAAGAACATCGTCAAGAAGTGTCTGGAGCTGTTTGCTGAGCTGGCTGAAGACCGGGAGAACTACAAGAAGTTATACGAAGGCTTCTCCAAGAACATCAAGGTATCCCAAATGCACACGTTAAGTGCTGCGTAGAATTTTTAAAAGTTTTAAATGAAAGGTACCCTTTCATAATGCACTCCTTATGTCTTCAGTGCATCTCTATGGACTCATAAGGTTTACCTTTTATTCTTTGATCTTAACTGTACTCTCCCGCTTTCTGAGGCAGTCTAGTCAGAGCTTGTTATTAGCCGTACTTTATACAGGCTCAGTGTAGTACATCTCATGCAGTTGGTCTAGTGTATAAGGCTCTTGTGTATACTATTCCTGGTACTGTGCTTATGTGCAG